GGTGAGAGAAGGAAAACACGTAGGAATAAACAAGTACGAAACATAAATGCGGTGTGATGACGACGAACGCGAAGAGAGAAATGGTACTTTGCTTGCTCCATTTTTCAAGTGGAGTAATGAAAGTGTAAGTACGTATTGTGTACACATGATAAGTGCTACAAGTACGATGAAGAAGCGAGTAATGAAATGAGGTATAAGTAATGGGCAAGAAGTAAGATAAGCAAGAAGTGAGAAGCAATAAGCGCCAGCAAATATGTAGAAAGTAACAAGTAAGAAGTAAGAATCAGGAGAAGAACGAACCATAAGCAGGAACTAATACGTAGCAAGTCATATGTTGTATTTAAAAACTCATAATGGTCCTAATCTTACTTCTCGCTTATGTTTTCCTTTCTTCATAACTGAAAATATGAGTTAATTGTAAACGCTTGCGCGCGCCGCCTCGGCAGCCGGGCCGGCCTACGGACAGGAAGGGAGGAAAGAGGGTTTCTGGGCGGGGCTTCAGTTCGCGGGGAGGGTAGGGTTGTCATCCCCGGAGTGCCAGGCAGGTGCCAGGGGGCTCGGGGTGTCAGGCAGGTCTGGGGGTTGGGGGGGTTTAGGGGGTTTATCGCGTTGCAGGGATATCCAGAATGGCCCAGAAAAATTCCAGGGGGGTCCCAGGGGGGTCGCAGGGGGGCCCCACGCGGGCCCGGGAGCCAAAACCCGCGCGTTTGCCCGCAAGACTGCGGGTTGCGGCCAATGTCGAAGCTTCAGAAAAACCGAGAGCTAGCAAGCGGGCGGCGGGGGGGTGGGGGGGGCGATATTGATGTTGATGATTAAACCGTTTGCGTCGCAGCGTTTTCTCTGCAGGACAGCAACAGTCTGGCTCAGCCACCGAGCGCGGAACATGAACCTCCAATGCGCCGCCCCAGCTGGGGTCGGCGCGTAGTGTAGCATATCCTCTCTATGGAAGAAAGGTGGATTCAAGAACTACCCGCGATTCAGAAACTTCGGTTCAAAAACTTTTCTGCCCGATTCAGAAACTTGTGCATGAATTTCAGTTTGCATCGATTCTGAAACCATTCTGCACCGATTCAGAGACTGTTTTTCTCGATTGTGCTAGATTCAGAAACAGAAACCGAGCAGCCAAGGCGGAACGAAATGACAAGGACACAAAGATGGCATAGTTAACAATCCCCTCCCTCCGCCTCGCGAAGAACAGACTGACAGAGCAGGGACAAGGATGGTCGCGAAAAACAGACGGAGGGACGATGTGAAAATTTGCCTGCGAAAGACAGGGGCTGGGGGATAAAGACGTTAGTGACAAATATAATGTTCACACCCTCTCGCCTCGCGAAAAACTTGATCCCATGTAGCGATGGCGTGAGATCCCATGGCTCAAACTCGCCCCCTCATTGGGCCATGGCACCTGATCCCATCTTAAAGTGGTGCGCGACCAGGGGGCATGGCAACTCAGGTTGCATTCAGAGTAGATGTTACTTGTCTGATCCTGGACTTGCTGTTGATCCTGTTTGACTATCTTGGATACCTTGTGCAAGGAGCCAGCCATTCAGCCTGGAGCGTTCCTCGTGGGCTGACAGAGCTCCTTTGTCCTGAAGCCTGCTAGTGGAACATTGAAGGGCATGTGCCAGCATGTGCCAGCGCGTGCCAGCGTGTGCCAGCCTGTGCCAGCGTTTCCCAGCATGTGTCATGTTTTCGCGCTACCACTTGCTCTACCCTGGTAACTGCGTCCGGCGCTGTGTCTGAGCTGCTGAGGTTCGAGTCCAAAGCTGCGCTGTCGACTCTGCTGCCTAGCCCTGAGCAGAACATCGGCGGATGCCAACACTCCCGGGGGGTGCTTTGGAGAGAGGGCTTGAAAGACCTCATGCAACAGGACGGACCGGGCAACGCATCCACGGCATCTTGGCGCCACGCGATGTGATGAGGACGGGGCGCACTGCGTGGTAGGTCTGTCGCATGTCATGACCCGAAGCTACTACGATGGGAGATTTCGATTGTGATTTTTTTGCCCGTAGCTTGCTCCAAAATATGCCCCGAAGAGGCCTCCAAGTCACCTTCTCGTGTTGGGCACGCATGTCCAAATTTTTGTTGATCCCGAAACCTGCAGTTAGTATGTTCTTCTTGCTCAGGCTTTCCGACCCTGTAGATGTTGCTCCTGAAAAGTACGCACTCGATGAAGAGCCGAACCCCGTAGCTGCACGGCGTCGTTCCTACGAAGGCTGCTTCGGAGTAGATGTTACATGTTACTTGTCTGATCCTGAACTTGCTGTTGATCCTGTTCGACTATCTTGGATACCTTGTGCAAGGAGCCAGCCATTCAGCCTGGAGCGTTCCTCGTGGAATGGGCTGACAGAGCTCCTTTGTCCTGAAGCTTGCTAGTGGAACATTGACGGGCATGTGCCAGCATGTGCCAGCGTGTGCCAGCGTGTGCCAGCGTTTCCCAGCATGTGTCATGTTTTCGCGCTACCACTTGCTCTACCCTGGTAACTGCGTCCGGCGCTGTGTCTGAGCTGTCGAGGTTCGAGTCCAAAGCTGCGCTGCCGACTCTGCTGCCTAGCCCTGAGCAGGGCTTCGGCAGAACATCGGCGGATGCCAACACTTCCGGGGGGGGCTTTGGAGGAGAGGGCTTGAAAGACCTCATGCAACAGGACGGACCGGGCAACGCATCCACGGCATCTTGGCGCCACGCGATGTGATGAGGCCGGGGCGCACTGCGTAGTAGGTCTGTCGCATGTCATGACCCGAAGCTACTACGATGGGAGATTTCGATTGTGATTTTTTTGCCCGTAGCTTGCTCCAAAATATGCCCCGAAGAGGCCTCCAAGTCACCTTCTCGTGTTGGGCGCGCATGTCCCAATTTTTGTTGATCCCGAAACCTGCAGTTAGTATGTTCTTCTTGCTCAGGCTTTCCGACCCTGTAGATGTTGCTCCTGAAAAGTACGCACCCGATGAAGAGCCGAACCCCCGTAGCTGCACGGCGTCGTTCCTACGAAGGCTGCTTCGGAGTAGATGTGACATGTTACTTGTCTGATCCTGAACTTGCTGTTGATCCTGTTCGACTATCTTGGATACCTTGTGCAAGGAGCCAGCCATTCAGCCTGGAGCGTTCCTCGTGGATGGGCCTTTGTCCTGAAGCTTGCTAGTGGAACATTCACGGGCATGTGCCAGCATGTGCCAGCGTGTGCCAGGGCGTGCCAGCGTGTGCCAGCCTGCGCCAGCGTTTCCCAGCATGTGTCATGTTTTCGCGCTACCACTTGCTCTACCCTGGTAACTGCGTCCGGCGCTGTGTCTGAGCTTATGAGGTTCGAGTCCAAAGCTGCGCTGCCGACTCTGCCGCTTAGCCCTGAGCAGGGCTTCGGCAGAACATCGGCGGATGCCAACACTTCCGGGGGGGACTTTGGAGGAGAGGGCTTGAAAGACCTCATGCAACAGGACGGACCGGGCAACGCATCCACGGCATCTTGGCGCCACGCGATGTGATGAGGCCGGGGCGCGCTGCATAGTAGGTCTGTCGCATGTCATGACCCGAAGCTACTACGATGGGAGATTTCGATTGTAATGTTTTTTTTGTTTAACCCGTAGCTTGCTCCAAAATATGCCCCGAAGAGGCCTCCAAGTCACCTTCTCGTGTTGGGCACGCATGTCCCAATTTTTGTTGATCCCGAAACCTGCAGTTAGTATGTTCTTCTTGCTCAGGCTTTCCGACCCTGTAGATGTTGCTCCTGAAAAGTACGCACCCGATGAAGAGCCGAACCCCCGTAGCTGCACGGCGTCGTTCCTACGAAGGCTGCTTCGGAGTAGATGTGACATGTTACTTGTCTGATCCTGAACTTGCTGTTGATCCTGTTCGACTATCTTGGATACCTTGTGCAAGGAGCCAGCCATTCAGCCTGGAGCGTTCCTCGTGGATGGGCTGACAGAGCTCCTTTGTCCTGAAGCTTGCTAGTGGAACATTGAAGGGCATGTGCCAGCATGTGCCAGCATGTGCCAGCCTGGCCAGCGTTTCCCAGCATGTGTCATGTTTTCGCGCACACGCACCACGCACCACGCACCACGCACCACGCACCACGCACCACGCACCACGCACCACGCACCACGCACCACGCACCACGCACCACGCACCACGCACCACGCACCACGCACCACGCACCCACGCACCAACCACGCACCACGCACCACGCCCACGCACCACGCACCACGCACCACGCACCACGCACCACGCACCACGCACCACGCACCACGCACCACGCACCACGCACCACGCACCACGCACCACGCACCACGCACCACGCACCACGCACCACGCACCACGCACCACGCACCACGCACCACGCACCACGCACCACGCACCACGCACCACGCCCCACGCACCACGCACCACGCACCACGCACCACGCACCACGCACCACGCACCACGCACCACGCACCACGCACCACGCACCACGCACCACGCACCACGCACCACGCACACACGCACCACCACGCAACACCACATGCACCACGCACCACGCAACACGCAACACGCAACACGCACACGCAACACGCAACACGCAACACGCAACACGCAACACGCAACACGCAACACGCAACACGCAACACGCAACACGCAACACGCAACACGCAACACGCAACACGCAACACGCAACACGCAACACGCAACACGCAACACGCAACACGCAACACACACACACACACACACACACACACACGCACACACACTCACACTCACACTCACACTCACACCCACACCCACACTCACACCCACTCTCACTCTCACTCTCACTCTCACTCTCACTCTCACTCTCACACTCACACTCACACTCACTCACACTCACCCACGCACACCCACGCACGTGCACTCACACTCACACTCACACTCACACTCACACGCACACGCACACCCACACCCACACCCACACCCACGCACGCATGCGCACGCATGTGCACGCATGCGCACGCACACGCACACACCCTTAAGCCCTGAGAAGCCTTCGCCAAGGCTCGCTTGTTGGGTTGAGGCGGCAGCCGCTGCCTTTGCCTCCTGGGCCTTTGCAGCCGCCTGACGTGCCTGACAAGCTTTGGAGTCTCGCTGATGGTTCTGCATGCCGCCACTTCCTCCTCCAATCGTGAGACCACAGAAGCGGCAAGTACGAAACTGGTGGTCTCTCCTCAGTTGGTCATTCAAGTGCTCTCTTCTTTCTTAATCCCTTTGAAGTCCCCTCAAGCGCCCTAAAGGACGGGCTCAAACCCAACTTGTGAGGGGACCCCTGGCAGTCACAGTGTTGATGGTTTAGGGTTTAGGGCTTTCGGTTTTTGATCCTCGGGGTTGACTAGGAGCTTTGGTGTTTTGAGGTTTGGGTGTTGCTAGGAAGGTTCAGGAACTGGAGGGTTTTGTGAACTTGCTATGAAGGCTTCGGAAGGGTTGCAGGAATCCGGGGCAAGGCGCTGGATCTGCGAATCAGGGCGGCTTTTTGTTTTGCACACCCAAAAACCCTAAACCCTAAACCCTGAACCCTAAACCCTAAACCCTAAACTCTAAACCCTAAACCCTGAACCCTAACCCCAAACCCTCAAGAGAAAATAAATAGAAATTGTATGTGGTATCATTGTGAAGTTCTCAACTTATTTGTCTAAACAGCTGACAAGCAGAGTTTAAGTAAATTATTTCAAAGTGCCTGGGAGGCAAATGCTCAGTTTGAAATTTACCATGTTGATTTGTCTAAACAGCTGACAAACAGAGTAACAGTCAATTGGTCCAAACCGCAAAAACAAGCTTCAGAAGGCCCATATTAGCTTCAGAAAGAAAGCCCTCCCGCCCCCCACCCTCCCCCCCCCTCCCTCCTGCCGCCCCTCCGCCTCCCCCTGCCTCCTGCCTCCGGAATGGAGTGAGAGTGGGAGGGGGGTTCTTTAGGCACGGCAGTGATGGTGGGGGGGGGCCAGCGCGAGTGGGGTGGGGAGTGCGGAAATGCATTATGCCCCACTCTCCCCCCCCCCCCCGGCCCAACCCCCGATCCTCCTCCCCCCCTCACCCCCTCCCTACTCCCCTTGGGTCAAAATTTTCGGTCAAAACGTTTCGGTCAAAACTTTCGGTCAAAACGTGATTGGGACTTAAACCCTATACAATTTCTATGAACTCTAAATTCTGATCCCTGGACGGCGCCACTCCTGTGAACCTTGTCCCGTGCTAGTACTCATAAACTCTCCTGCGCAATGGGAAAATCGTGACAGTTCCTTCATCGCAAACAGTAAACCATAGGGTTTAGGGTTTAGGGTTTAGGGTTTAGGATTTAGGGTTTAGGGACTTTGCCACGAGCTGACGAGCCTCTGCTTTTGCAAGTACTGGCATGCCTCAGCTGATCTCCAAAGTCTCGGCCGGTGACTGAAGATTGGGTAGTTCTGAGGAATGAGGGTCCCTTTTACAGGGTAGGGTTTAGGGTTTAGGGTTTAGGGTTTAGGGTTTAGGGTTTAGGGTTTAGGGTTTAGGGTTTAGGGTTTAGGGTTTAGGGTTTAGGGTTTAGGGTTTAGGGTTTAGGGTTTAGGGTTTAGGGTTTAGGGTTTAGGGTTTAGGGTTTAGGGTTTAGGGTTTAGGGTTTAGGGTTTAGGGTTTAGGGACCCTTGTTATAAGCACCCCAAACAAAGGACCCTAGCTTAGAACCCTATTCTGAAAACCTAAGCTGCCCCGAACCCTAAACCCTCAACCCTCAACCCTCAACCCTAAACCCTAAACCCTCAACCCAAACCGAAGGGGCCTTTGAGTTTGATTGATGGTTCGCCATGCCAGAATCTCCTCCGCGGATCTCGCGGCGACAGAATTCACAGCACTGAACCTGGGAATTCACCTCGCGTCTTCTGGCTTTGTTCTTTGTTTTGTTGCATTCTTTCGGATTTTGCATTTTGTAGGTTTTGGGGTTTAGGGTCTGTAGGGTTCTGAGTGAATCCCTCAAAACCCTAAACTCTCAGAGGGGTAGTTCAGTACCCCAGCTAAGGCAGTTCGAACTTGCAAGGACCTAGGCAGGCTCAGGGGCTTACGTAGAGAGTGCATCGGGTGTTTACGGTTTATAGGGTTCAGGGTTTGTCGGGTTGAGGGACGTCCCGCACTGGCACAGCGGGCAGGCCTTCTTCTTTCGCACACGTCCCCAAGACCTTCAACCCTAAGGTGCAGGGTTTAGGGTTCAGGGTTCAGGGTTTAGGGGTAAGGGTTTAGGGTTTAGGGTTTAGGGTTTAGGGTTTAGGGTTTAGGGTTTAGGGTTTAGGGTTTAGGGTTTAGGGGACCCTCAAACCTCAACCCTGAAAACCGGAACCCACATACCTCGAGGCGTTGAGGGGTGGGCTTAGGGCGTAGGGCTCTTCAAAGGCTTTGCGGCTTTTGTAGGGCTCAAGTAGGGGGGTTTTTGGGTGTAGGGTCTTGAGTTCTAAGTGCTTAGGGGTTCAAGTGCTTAGGGCTTTCAGGGGCTTAGGGGTTGATCCACAGACATAACGCCTGCGCTGGCGGATGCGCTGGCTGCGCTGGCGGATGCGCTGGCGGATTCGCCGGCAGAGGCCTGGTCGTGTCCGTCGTCCGCTGCTGCGACCTTTGGATAACCTGAGAGAGGAGATCAGAAGCCCCTCCGGAGCCCTCCAGTACACAAATGAAAAAAGACCCAAAGGAAGGAACTGTTTGAAATGAAGCAGAATAGGATTTCAAATCAACGCTTCCCAGGGCCTTTGATATGGGGACTTCCTTTTCGGCGTGTCAACTGCAGCAAATAGAATCGCGCTCAAGGGGCCAAGAACACTTTGTGATTGTAAAAAAATCTTTGTCGTCGAGACATTTCCGAGAGAACGAGCCAAACACACAGACTAAATGACCCTCCAAACTCTATCAATACTATTGGGTTTATGCTGTACCTCAAATCTAGGGAGAAAGCAACAGTGTACATAGTCAGGGCTCATGCTGTGGATCCTGATAAACAAGGGTAAGCGACCCTACCAAGGGCCCTTGGGTTTCAACAACCGTGTTTCCGGCTACCTAATTTGTACCCTAAACCCTGAACCCTGATCCCTAAACCCTGAACCCTGAACCCAAACCCTGAAGCCTAAATCCTAACCCTGAACCCTAAACCCTAAACCCTGAACCCTAAACCCTAAACCCTGAACCCTAAACCCGAAACCCTGAACCCTAAACCCGAAACCCTGAACCCCTAAACCCTTCTCCAGAGAGCGAGGGAGGGGATCGCGGCGGCGCCACTGGGCTCCCGCCAGCCGCGGCAGGGCGGCGTCCTTGGGTTTAGGGTTTAGGGTTTAGGGTTTAAGGTTTAGGCTTAGGGTTTAGGGTTTCGGGTTTGGGGTTTAGGGGGTTGAGGTTGGTTTGAGAGCCTCTTTTTTGTTGGGAGGGGGGAAGGTGGGGGGGGGTTTAGGGCTTGGGTGTTTTTTTTGTGTTTAGGAGTTTGTGGCTTAGGGCTTTCGGAGTTCAGGGATTAGGGTTTAGGGGTTCGGTGGGCTGCCGTTGCATTCACACAAGTCCTCAAACTACCGGTGTTAGAATTCAGGATATAGGGTTCAGGGTGTTCATGTGTATGCTTCGCAGCTGCCTTGGATTCGGATTTTTTTGGCTGCAGGGTTCCAGGAGAAGGCTAAGGGTTGCAGATTTTGGAGCAGCCCAGCCCTGAACCCTAGAGCCCCAAACCCCGCGGTACCTAAACGCCGCGACACACTCAACAACCCTAAGCCCTAAATCCTGCAACCTTACACCCCAACAACCCGAAACTCAAAAAATCTTTGAGCGCAACAACCGCAAACACATCTTTCTTGATCCAGGCAAGGCGTCTGAGCGGACCTGCTTGGATGGAATGCCCAGACCTGCTCATGGTCGACGACTTCCACAGCCAACCCCCCCGCCTTCGAATGTTTGGGGTTTATAGGGTTGTGTGTTTGGGGCAGCGTGCGGGCTTGATCTAGTAAAGCTTTAGGGCTTATTTACCCTAGCCTCTGGAAGCCTTCATGCTTGTAAACCTTAAACCTTATGAACCTCTAAACCTTAGACCCTATAAACTACAAACCCTAAACCCTAAACCCTAAAAGCCCGCCACCGGCCTCGGTCGCTCCAACACTGGTGCCGAACCACCAGCCCGACATGTTCTCGCCGTTGCGGCTGTCCCAGAAGAAGAGGTAAACCTCCAATGTCTTGGCTTAGGGTGTAGGGTGTAGGGTGTGGGGTGCAGGGTGTAGGGTGTAGGGTTTAGGGTTTAGGGTTTGGGGTTTAGGGTTTAGGGTTTAGGGCGTAGATGACATCTGGGCTTTGAGGTTCAGAGCTCTTTGGGGGTGTAAGGTCTAGGGTTTAGGGTTTATAGGCTTTATGCAATTCAGCTGCCTATAGCAGAGCCTCAAAAATACCCTAAACTAAACCCTTAACCCCGATCCCCTTATCATAACAGGGCTTAGGGTTTAGGGTTTAGGGTGCCGTGAGGCCACAACCAGGTCAAACTTGAGTTGCTCTCTAAACCCCGAAATAGACCCGAGGCTCCTCAAAGCTAAGGTTTCCGGATATCAAAACGACCCCAAGCCCTACAGTTAACTCTTCAATTCCCTAAACCCTAAACCCTAAACCCTAAACCCTAAACCCTAAACCCTAAACCCTAAACCCTAAACCCTAAACCCTAAACCCTAAACCGTGGGGCGCCTCTTTGTCGGAAACTCGCCTAAACAAGAAACCTAAACCTTAATTAAGCCCGCATGGGCTTCCCCCCCCACCATAGCTTAACGCGTATAAGCCCTGAACTTAAAACCCCCAAACCGAAAAACGAAGCCCAGAGGCGATCTAAACCCTGTAGCAGCCGCCTTTTTGAGTCAAGCCGTCAAGCCTGAACCCTGTTTGGGGCTTAGAAGTGTAGAGCCTTAAGGCTTCGGACTGGATCTAAAACCCTACGCGCGCTCATGCTGACATCACCACGCAAGCCCCACCCTCAACCACCATGTCGGAGAATGGGTCTAGGGTTTAGGGTTTAATTAGGGTTTAGGGTTTAGGGTTCAACTAGGGTTGAGGCCTGTAGGTAGAAGCTTTCCTTCTTGTAGACCGGCCGCTGGTGGTTCGAGCCGCTCTTGACGAAGAGTCCCTGGGGCTTCGAGATTTTCGGGGCTTTGGGGCTTAGGATGGAATCGGCAGGAGTAGGGTTTAGGGTTTAGGGTTTAGGGTGCAGGGTTTAGGGTTTAGGGTTTAGGGTTGCCACAGCGTGAGGAAAAGCCTGTTTAGGGTTTCGGGGCTTCGAAAACCTTGAGCCCTCAGCCCTGACACCCCGCAAACCCTCAGCTACTTTAGCTTTTGAATCCTCAACCCCGAAGCCGAAGACCGAATAAGCACCCTATACCCTAAACCCTAAACCCTAAACCCTGAGCCCAAATAAGCACCTTCAAGCCTAAGTCCCTGTAGGCCTCAACCCTAAACCGCTCCGAAGCGTAAAGCATGCGCTGGTAGCGGTTACATCGGGCGTTCCCAGGTTTCAGTCAAGGCTCTTACGTAGGGTTTCTATAAGGTTCATGTTGGGTTTAGGGTTTAGGGTTTAGGGTTTAGGGCTAACAAGGTTAAGGCTATAGAATAGGGTCTCTGGGGTGTATAAAGGATAAAGGCTACAGCGCTTCTGGGGCTTCCAGGGTTTTTAGGCCTGCAGGTTTTTTAAGGTTTCGTTCAAGCCCTAAACCCTAAACCCTAAACCCCTAAACCCCTAAGCCCCTAAACCCCTAAACCCCTAAATCCCTAAGCCCCTAAACCCTAAACCCTAAACCCTAAACCCTAAACCCTAAACCCTAAACTCTAAACCCTAAACCCTAAACCCTAAACCCTAAACCCTTACTTCGGTTTCCCGAGTGCCTCTAAGACAGTTAGCGGCGCGGAGCTGCTCACTGCGATGTGGGACACGTCGCCGACCTCCTCCAGGGTGAGCATGCTGGATCCCCCAAGCTAGGATTGGGTTTAGGGTTTAGGGTTTAGGGTTTAGGGTTTAGGGTTTAGGGTTTAGGGTTTAGGGTTTAGGGTTTAGGGTTTAGGGTTTAGGGTTTAGGGTTTAGGGTTTAGGGTTTAGGGTTTGGGGTTTGGGGTTTAGGGTTTAGGGTTTGGGGGTTTGGGTTTAGGGTTTAGGGTCTAGGATTTAGGGTTTGGGGTTTGGGGAAGCCGCCAGGGGTTGGCCCTTCAGGCGCAGTGTGTCAGCAGGGGATCCATGGCAACGTTACACTCTGGAGTCTCTTGTGCTATGGCAGCAAGAGTGAAGACAAGGAATGCGCGCCAGAATTGCTGCATCTCTGATTGGTCACGCTTTCGAGGCTACCGGTCTACAGGCACTGAGAACCCGAGAGCATGTCAACCACAGAAGCCCCCAGGTTCGATAGCAAGAAGCAAAAGAAGACAAAACATGCGCACGATGCCACATGGGCCCTCAACCCCTAAACCCTAAACCCCAATAAAACCCTAAACCCTAAACCCTAAACCCTAAACCCTAAACAGTTTAGCGCAAGCAGTTTGGGGCCTCCACGGCGGAGCCCGAGGAACTCGCAGCGCCCGGGCTTGGCCCAGGAGGACTCACAAGGAGGGCTGTAGAAGGGTTTTAGGGTTTCAGGGTTTAGGGCTTTAGGTTCTTATGGTTCTTAGTAGCCCAGGAACCATGTCATTATAAGGGCACCCTTTTTTTGGGTTGGTTACTTTCTAAGGGAACCCATAGCCAAAACAAAAAGGTAAAGGGTACCACTGGGCTACTCAGGGTTAAGGGTTGAGGGTTCAGATTTTGCACGGGAGGTCTTGAGTAGTGGCTTGAGAACTCGAGGGTTTGTACGATGGAGGTTTCGGGCTTTGGTGGGGTTCAGGGGTCCCGGACTTCCTTGTTAAGTTTTTAGGGTGAGGCTGAGCTGCTTCGCTTTTGATTATTGCAGGGGACGCCAGGAGGTCAAGCGTGTGGAAGACCCGTACTGATCCTCGTGATGGGCTTGTGGACGCACAAACTTGTACCTGCTACTAGTATAATGGATGGTGACAGAGTCGAAGTGTAAGCCGCACATGTTTTCATGATAGTTGGTGACATCAAACCAAACATTTTGGAGATCGTTGATTGACATGGTTTTTGCAAGTGCAGGAGCCAATTCCGTTTGCATCAGGGTGGCCAGCATCACCTTCGCTACTGCAGGACCCATGACGCACTTTGCGCTCCCCATATTCGGAGCTCAATGGTGCCAATTGCATACACGGGAAGAGAAGTTGGAAATGTTGGTATCGTTGGTATCGGGCACGGGCCGAGTCTGTTCTTCTTGTTGCGAAGCTTGGCTTCCAAGATGGCATAAACCAGCAAGTATAATCCAAAAACAGACCCCCCCACACACCCCAAATCCTTACTCCCTACTCCCTAAACCCCTAAGCCCTAAAACCCTAAGCTCAGCCGCCGCAGGGCCTCACAAGTGGCCTTTTCGCTTGCGGCTCCGCTTGCGGAGGCTCCACGGCGGGCCTGGTTTAGGGTTTGGGGTTTGGGGTTTAGGTTGGGAGGCTCCCCCTTCTACTAACGGTCCTTAACAGGAATTATAGTCGGGGGTACTACAAGCCCTATTAAGGACTGTTAGTATGAGGGAACATCCCAAGGTTCAGGTTTTAAGGGGGTTTCTGGGGTGTTCTGGGGGTGTTTGGGTTTTATCGGGTTTATAGGGTTTGGTTGTTTGGGAGTCTGGTGTTCAGGGAGCTTTTGTCGGGAGAAGAAGCCTCAAGACTCAACACCCCAACCCCTAAACCCGAACCCCTTGACCCTCAACCCTCAATCCTACACTCTAAGCCCTATATGACCCTAAACCCTAAACCCTAAACCCTAAACCCTAAGCCCTAAACCCTAAACCCTAAACCCTAAACCCTAAACCCTAAACCCTAACCGCGGCCTCTTCACCGTGTCAGGCACGGAGGCCTGGGAGGCTTGGTCCCGAGCTTGAAGCAAAGCATCCAGATGCTGGATGATCCCTGTAGCCGGAAGCTTTTATGGGTTTCAGGGGTTTTAGGGTTTAGGATTTAGGGTTTAGGGTTTAGGGTTTAGGGTTTAGGGTCCTGTAGCCGGAAGCTGTTAGGGGTTTTAAGGGTTTTTAGGGTTTAGGGTGTAGGTCTTTAGGCTTTTCGGGATGTAGGATCCCTGTAGCTGAGGCTGTTAAATATAGGGGTTTTAGGGTTTTAGGGTTGAGGGTTTCAGGGTTTCAGGGTTTTAGGGTTTTAGGGTTTTAGGGTTTTGGGAGTAGGTGAGGCTTGGGGCTTTAGGGTTTTAGGAGTTTATGGGTTGAGGGTTTTAGGGTTTAGGGTTGTCTTGAGGATAAACGGGGTTACCCTCTGTTTAGGACTTTGTGGGGTCTAAGGGAATTCAATGGGGTCGAGGGCTGAGTGTGTTTTTTTTGGGGGATGTCTCGAATTCCACGGGTTTTCTGGAAGCGCTTTATTGGGCTTGACACTGCTTGGGGCTTCAGGGCCCTAAACTCCCTCCCCCGCCCTCTTCCTCCCCTCACCCCCTCCCCCCCAAGTCGCCCTAAACTCCCCCACCCCCCCCCCCCCCCCCCCTCCCCTTCCTCCCCTCCCCCTGCAATCCTGTGAGCCAATCCATTGCATGAAAAATGCACCCTGACCATGCCCTATGAACTCTTATAAGCCCCAAACCCTCCTAAACCCTAAACCCGAAACCCGAAACCCTAAACCCTACACCCTAAACCCTAAACCCTAAACCCTAAACCCTAAACCTGGGGGCCGTGCAGAAGTTCTTGGTACAGTCGTCGCGCTTGAAGGTCTGGCGGCAGTGGGGGCAGTCGTACGTGCTCCGCTTCCCGATGATCTGCTGCATCTCGGCTGCAGTGAAGAAGGGTTTAGGGTTAAGGGTTTAGGGTTTAGGGGTAAATTATTGGGGTCCTTATGATGAAGGAATCCTACTATTTGGGGGTCCCTTATTTGGGGGTCCTTATTTTCGTAAACTTCCAAGAGTCTCGCCATTGGTGTGGGGCTTTATAAGGGAAGGGTAGGGCTAGGGAGCATTGCGATGTGCAAATGTGAACTCTGGTCAACTCTAGAGATCCTGTACGCCCAAACGCAATCGGGTGTAGGGTCTAGGGTCGAGCCTTGAGGGGCCCTCAACCCGAACCCCTAAACCGTCTTTCAGAAAGGCGGGCTGTTTTGCCAAGTTGCGCACGTCTGGCAGAAGGTATGGCCGCACCTCAATCAGGGCAACAGACCGAAAAGCCTGAATCCCAAACCCTAAACCTCAACCCTGAACCCCGAACCCTAAACCCTAAACCCTAAACCCTGAACCCTAAACCCTAAACCCTAAACCCTCAACCTTAAACCCTAAACCCTTAACGCAAGACTTCCCCGGGGCCTTGGGCTTTGCGGTGGGGGTGTAAAACTTCATTCGAGACCATGCTCCGATGCAAAGTCGACGATAAACCACCCGACTCCTAACACTAAACACACCCAACCCAAAACCCTAAACCCCAAACCCTAAACCCTAAACCCTAAACCCCAAACCCTAAACCCTAAACCCTAAACCCCTAACCTCCAGTAACTCAGTGTCTAAGGCTTCACGTGTAAGACATAGCCCGGAAGCTGAAGGTTGGCTGGAGAGCGGGGTGGGGGGCAAGGGGGGGGGGGCGGTAGGGTGTAGGGTGTAGGGTGTAGGATTTAGGGTTTGGGGTTTAGGGTTTCGGGTTTAGGGGGTAGGGGTTCAGGATTTGGAAAGGAAAAGCGGCCCCGTTTCCACGGAGGCGCTTGCTGAGATAGGGGGCGTGGTCTGCGGCGTCGAAGTCCTCAGAGCCCGAAACAACCCTCAACGCTAAGTCCCTTAAACCCGCAACACGCCCAACACCCCAAACCCTAAACCCTAAACCCTAAATTCTAAACCCTAAACCCTAAACTCTGAACCCTAAACCCTAAACCCTAAACCCTAAACCCTAAGCCCTAAGCCCTAAGCCCTAAACCCTAAACCCTAAACCCTAAACCCTGACCCCTGAACTCCCTGAACTCCCTGAACTCCCTGAACCCTAAACGTCCGAAGCCCCTTATTCAAAACTTGGGCAGCCTACGGACCGACGCCCGTAAATGCAGGGTTTAGGGTTTAGGGTTTAGGGTTTAGGGTTTAGGGTTTAGGGTTTAGGGTTTAGGGTTTAGGGTTTAGGGTTTAGGGTTTACAAACTCATGAGATCTCAAGAAGCTCCGCAGAACTTGCGAGTCCTCACAGCAGACCTCGCACTCCACCTGGATCCTGAGTTAGGCGTTTGGAAACAAGGGGACTTGGAGTGGGTTTAGGGTTTAGGGTTTAGGGTTTAGGGTTTGGGGGTCCAGGGAGCCAAAGGCTTTGAAGGGCTTCACAGTGTTTTTTGGGGATTGGGGGGTAGGTTTACGGGTTTGAAGTCTACGGTTTAGGGTCCAGGGCCTAGGGCTGGAGCTTTTGGACAGCAACATCTGCTTTTGTTCGTTTTTGGCGAGCTGCTTGGAGACAGGAGTCCAAGCCAAGCAAGGAGCCTACAGAACTGGCAATAATAATGGCATCCCCATAAAAACCAACTCCCAAACCCCGAATCGAATTCAAACTCGACTGCTCAATCACAACCCTCTACAGCCCGCAGCGCTAGCCCTAAACCCCAAAAAATCTAAACCCTAAACCCTAAACCCTGAACCTCCAACTCCAGCTTCCCAAGCCCCGCATCCTCCATCCTGGGTCCAGGTCGCTGCAACGACGCCCCAGCCGGGGAAGCCGCGACCGGCTTGGTGTCGGAATCCTGTGGAGGTGTGGGGTTTTGACACTGTCTAGCACTTTTCCAAACTGGAAGCGCCCCTCTCCAAAACATCGAGGAAAGTGCGAGGCAAAACGTCACGCCGGAATAGCGTTCTCAGAAAGGAGAAAGACAGAGCAGAACAAGCAAAGCAAACAAGAAAGACAACGCGCCTTGGGCGACCACACAGGTGGACAAGCCAACATGCAACACCCCTCAGAAGCAAATGGAGAGGCCCAGAGGGCAAGTATCCACCTTCAACTACAAAGGCCAGCATTACATGAAAGACATATTAGCTTCAAAACGAACATCAAAGTACACATTACATAAACACGCCTTCAGCCAGATCACAAGGAAGAGCAGGCCGCCTGCCTTGCCCTGCTTCCCATCCTTTGGCAGCTTCTCACGCTTGCCCTTCTTGTGCTTCTTCTCCTTCTTCTCCTTCTTCTTTTTCTTCTTCTTTTTGACCTCTGAGGGAGCTGGGGTAAGGGCTTGTGGGTTTAGGGCTAAGGGTGCGCGACGAGGTGATGAGTTTGCGACGCATGAACAGTGCAGTTGTTCGTGGCTGTGACAAGCAAGTACGCCTGACAAGCCCGATGCAGATGTCGCTTCGCATTGGAGACAAGTGCGGCCTGTGCTATTATTTCTCATCATGGGGTTCGGATTCATGGCTTCAGGGTTCTCCTAAACCCTATAAACCTTAACCTTAAGTCCTGAACCCTGAGCCCGAAACCCCAAGTAACCCCAAACCCTAAACCCTAAGTAACCCCTAAGTAACCCTAAGTAACCCTAAGTAACCCTAAGTAACCCTAAGTAACCCTAGACCCCTTAAACCCCGAAAGCTCCCTCCTCGCGGCTCTTCCGACGCTCTCTCCCAGCGGCTGCAGCGGCAGCTGCCGCAGCGCGCAGTTGGCTGCTGGTGCCCTGCTGAACCATTTCGGGGGCGTGTAGGGTTTAGGGTTTAGGGTTGAGGGTTTAGGGTTGAAAGTTTAGGGTTAAGGGTTTAGGGTTTAGGGTTTAGCGTTTTAGGGTTTTAGGGTTTAGGGTTAAGGGTTTAGGGTTTTAGGGTGTTAGGGTTTTAGGGTTTAGGGTTGAGGGTTTAGGGTTTTAGAGTTTTAGGGTTTAGGTTTAGGGTTTGGTGTTTGGGGTTAGGGTTTGGGGTTTCGGGTTTAGGGTTCTGCTTTTTGAGGGTTATAGGATTATGGGGTAAGGGGGGTTACCTACATGTTTAGGCTAGCAATTTAGGGCTTCTTGGCTGTGTATATAGGGTTTAGGGTTTGAGATCCAGGGAGCAGGGTCGCGATGAAGGTGCTCGACTTTGCTGCCCTAAGTCCTTTGCCCTTCTTTGAAGCCAAAGAACCCCACACTGAGGGTGGGGAACTACAAAAAAACACACGCCTTAAATCCCTAAAGCACCCAAGGCCTCAAGACTGCCCAAACAATAACGACTCTAACGCCACCCACAACCCTAAACCTTAAGCCCTAAGCCCCAACGGGCAGAGATGCCCTTGGGTGCAAACCCTAAACCCTAAACCCTAAACCCTAAACCCTAAACCCTAAACCCTAAACCCTAAACCCCTGGGGGCCCCGACATCTGAGGAGGAGGATGAGGAGCCAGGGGCTGCCTGGAGGGGCGGAAGTGGCCCGTGGAACTTTGAGGGTTCCAGGCTCCGCGCCCGAGACATGAACTTGGGTTTAGGGTTTAGGGTTTAGGGTTTAGGGTTTAGGGTTTAGGGTTTAGGGTTTAGGGTTTAGGGTTTAGGGTTTAGGGGTTTAGGGTTTAGGGTTTTGGGGTTTAGGGTTTAGGTTTTAGGACCCTGAAGCCTTTTGAGCTTTAGGGCTTCTTAAACCTGAGCAAGGGACAAACAAGAATCCCGGGCACACCCGGAAAGAATAAACCTAAACCCCCCAACACCAACGCCAACTCCAAACCTGAAGCCACCCCCCTTCGAAACCTCTTGAGGAAGAGGAGAGGAGGGGTGTTACGGTCTAGGGTCCAGGGTTCAGGGTTTAGGATTTGCTACGGCATAATGTTTCAACCCTAAACCCTAAACCCTAAACCCTAAACCCTAAACCCTAAACCCTAAACCCTAAACCCTAAACCCTAAACCCTAAACCCTAAACCCTAAACGCTTGAACCTTTCAGCCTTACTTTAAGCCTTTCACCTGAGCCCCGAGCTGGAAAGTGAGGCGGTGGTGCGCCACGTGCTGCTATGCGTGTTTTCTGTTGTGGCGGGTGAAGGGTCAAGGGCTGAGAGTTTAGTGGTTTCTTTGAATCTTTGAAGCCAGTGCACTTCAAGCATCTGCTCAAACACACGAAGGACCTTGCAAGCCATTTGCCGGGGTATGGGGTTTGGTAAGGGTTTGGGGTTTAGGGTTTTGAGTTTAGGGGGGGGGGAATGGGGGCTCCCTCTTCTTGGCTACACGTATCCTTCCTTCACGGCGAAACAATTCAGCAAACACCCAAACGGTACACATCCTAACCTAAGAAGCTGCTAGAACCCTAAACAACCCTTAAAACCCCTCAGCCAAAAAAATAACAGCCTAACGGCCTCGGCAGCCTTCACAATACCCTCAACCCTGAAAGCCCTAAGCCCTAAGCCCTAAGCCCTAAACCCTAAACCCTAAACCCTCTTTTCGCTGCCTCATCGTGGCCGCCAGGGCCGGCGTTGGGCTCAGGGCGAGAGTGAACCTATCGGCTCCCAAGGAAGGGTTGGTTTAGGGTTTAGGGTTTAGGGTTTAGGGCGTAGGAAATTCGGGTTTAGGTTTTAGGGTTTAGGGTGTAGGTTTTGTGCTTCCGGGTTCAGGGCGCAGGAGTTCGGGTTTCGGGTTTAGGGCTTCGGGCTCCAGTGGTTTGGGCTTTTAGGTCCCAGCTTTGTGTTTGAAGGCGGCTTCTGATGTGCGCGCCTTTCGACGGTCGGGCCCCAGAGTTCCCGTAGGAGCGAGAGGCAGACTGAAGGGCCCCAACCCACATAGCTGCAGTCACGATGAGGTGCCTGTGGGCAACAGGGCCTCGTGCAACATGAGTCCTTGGCACCATGCAAATACATCTGAGCTCTCCGACGTACTGCCGACCAGTGTCATGCAGCTGTAACTGGGGTGCGGTTTCTGATTGGGGATGTGATCACTGGCCTTACACAACCCTAAGCCCGAATTCCGAAAACCCCCCCCCCCCCCCCCACAAATGTGATTTAAACCCGACAACCACCTAAATGCACCAAAGCTCCCCTCTCCCCCCCCGTCCCCATCCGCCGCCCCCTCCCCCTCCACCGAAAAAAAACAAACCCTAAACCCTAAACCCTAAACCCATCTAAACCCTAAACCCTAAACCCTACGCAAACACAGGAGTGATGATGGGCCGGACCTCCTGTCGGAGATGCTTCAGCTTCTCCTGTTTTAGGGTTTCGTTTTTACGGTTCCGGTTTTAGTGAGTACCTCTTTCAGGTCATCTTTTTGGGTTTCAGGGGGCTTCCGGTTTTGCGGTTTATGGTTGAGGCTTTGGGTTCGAGGGGGGGGGTTAGGATCTCAACTCCTGAACCCTAAACTCTGTGGGCCTGAGATCACGGCAAGCCTTGTAGACTGTTTCTTGCCCCCAACCCTGGAACATTGCTCCAACCAATACATCTCTAAGTACAGTCTTGGGTAAGCAGTTGAAGGGCTCTATGCTCAGGCCAAAATAACCCTATACCCCGTTCGGGGCTCAGGGCTGAGAGGGCTTGCAGGGGTTTTGGGGTATGGCTCTGTTGGGCTTTGGAGTGTAGAGATTGGGGTTCAGGGCTGGATGCGAGTGTGGGGTCCAGGTTCGAAGATCGTCTCTCCCCCCGTCCCTTATTCAGGGTTTAGGGTTCAGGGCCTCTCAGAGACCCCAACATTCCGAGCAAAACCCAGTAGAAACTCAAAAGCACCTTAACTTCATCCCCTAAACCCTAAACCCTACAGTCAAGCCTACCCCAAACCCCAAACCCCAAACCCCAAACCCCAAGCTCCAAGCCCCAAGCCCCAAGCCCTAAACCTAAACACTAAACGCTGCAGAAGCGGCCTGGCTGATTCGGCGGAGCTTGGCGTTGTCGCCATGATCCGCGGGATCCAGGGACCTTGAAAGCATACCGACGGGGTGATGAAGCATGCTACCAAAGCAAGGGGTGTAGGGTTTAGGGTTTAGGGTTTAGGGTTTAGGGTTTAGGGTTTAGGGTTTAGGGGTGTAGGGCTTAGGAAACCCTTGTACCCCTACACCGCATAGATATTTCGACCTGGGGCTGGGTTACAGAAAGCCCAAGCCAAAGACCGTTCCTCGGGGGCACTACAGGTCTGCTTCCTGCCCGTTTGGCAGTCTTCTCCCTAAACCCTAAACCCTAAACCCTCAAGCCTAAGACCCTAAACCCAGACAGAACTGTGCATCTTCGGGTCCCTCTAGTCCTACCCAATAAGCCCAAGACTCGACACCTTTAACCCTCCCAAAGGCACCTGAAACTACCCTTATCTGGGGATGAAGGTTGTAGGGTTTAGGGTTGCTTTAGGGGCTTGGGGGTGGTGATGTAGAATGTTGGGGCTCGTAGAGGGGTTCGGCTTGATGTAGGGTTTAGGGTTGAGGGTTTAGGGTTTAGGGAAAGCTCTGTGGCCATGGAAGGCCAGGCCTCAAAATGGCCAGCAGCGTTTCCGCGAGCTCGCGCTCCTCTTTGTCCACTGAAACCACGAAGTCCTGCGAAGAGGTCGGGTTTAGGGTTTAGGGAATCGGCGTCCAACTGCGCGCCCAAGAAGGTCCGCGCAGCCACTACGAATCGCAACTAAAGTGAAGATAAGAAAACAGCGAGTGCAAACTGCACAGAGTAAGCACCAAAAAGGGCAAACTCAGCACTCGATGCGAAACTATGAATAGATGTCAGCCACAGAATGTACAAATCCTACCACGATGGCAGGATGGCATAAGAATGTGGGTACGGGAAAGCAAAATTCCCCGAAAAAAACCCACCAAAACACATAAGTAAATGCGCGGAAATCTATACAAAGTCCGCGACATCCATCAAACATCAAAGCAGGAGCGGCAAAGTGCCCATGGCTGTGCGTCGAGGCGCACAGCTATCTCCCGCAAACGGTGACGGCAGCATAATCAGAAGACGACGGTGCGCGATCTCAGAAGGCGAGCCAACTGGATGCCCAGGTCAACCTCTTCGCCACAGTCATGAAGGTCACTTTCCAGACTTCCGGCCATTGGAAGCCTGGGGCCGCTTCACCTTCGCGATGTCGTTTTTCTCTGAGGACTTCATCACCTTGCTAGTTTTCGCTATCATGCCCTTGCCATGCATCCCGTCTGGATGCCAGTGGGGATGTAAAGGAACTGTGCGTCGTCCGGGCGCGCGCTTCATCACCATCACTCCAATCAGTAGTCGTGACGGCAGAGAGAGAAAGCTCAGTGTCACCTCCCACAGCGGCACACGAATCAATCTCCATCTGCGATTCAACTGGGGGCACCATGGCAGCCGCGGCCTTAGCTGCCTGGCGCCTCTGTCGCTTCGCCCTCCGCCGCGCCGCGCGGGCTTGGCGGAGTCTCAGCGCCAAATCTTCCTCACTGACGCTGGGAGCATCAGGAACCTCTGCGGACACCCTCGTGTCCGTCACAGTCGAGGCAGGGGCATCGGGCCGTAGAACTACAGCCGTCACCGCAGCAGCGATCGCCTGGACGGTGCGCCGAGGGGCGCGTGCAGAGACGGCAGCTTTAATCGCAGCAGCTAAAAGCGCTGCGCCATCGGCTGCCTTGCCCATCTTGCCAGCGCACACTACAAAGTAGGGGGAAACTACACTGACAGCTAACACTTGGGCCTTGTTTAGGGTTTAGGGTTTAGGGTTTGGGGTTTGGGGTTTGGGGTTTGGGGTTTGGGGTTTGGGGTTTGGGGGTTGGGGTTTGGGGTTTGGGGTTTGGGTTTTGGGGTTTGGGGTTCAGGGCTAAATCCCTAAACACTAAACCCTCTACCCTGAGGTTCCCCACCTGGAAATCACGAACACCCTACTGCAACAAGCAAACGCGCTTGTCTGCAGAAGTGGAGGGCGGCTTCAAGATATTGGCTTCAGGTTTAGGGTTTAGGGTTTAGGGTTTAGGGTTTAGGGTTTAGGGTTTAGTTCACTAGTCTAAGCTCTCATCCCTCCATGGGTAGTTTTGGGATACCAAGGGGCCAGCTTCCCTAATTAATTTTATCCTGAGGGTTTAGGGTTTAGGGTTTAGGGATTTAGGGATTTCGGGATTTCGGGATTGCGATGCCAAGCAACACAGCTAACTGAGCCGTAAGTCCTATGCCCTGCGCGAAGCTTTACGCCCGATTAGAAGCATACACCGCAGTCCTAACGCCACACGAGAAATCCCAAACCTGGGCCGTGAACCCCGAAACCCGAGTTACCTGCGCAAGCCCGTGAAAGCTGAACCACAGATGAAACCTCAGGACCATCAGAGCCGCCAAACGCTAAACACTTTCAACCTCAACGGACATCATCCTTAGAGCCCTCAGGGTTTAGGGTTTAGGGTTTTAGGGTTTAGGGTTTAGGGTTTGGCACGCCTGCAGCCCGGTGCCAATGAAACGGACGTGCCAATGAGCCACCTTCCCCTCCCGCTTCCGGGGGAACCTGGGCCGCCAACTGGGGGGTTTAGGGTTTAGGGTTTAGGGTTTAGGGTATGGGGTTTTAGGGTGTAGGGTTCAAGAGCTGCTCAAAGCTGCCACGTTTCAGGTTGGCTGAATATCTGGCAAAAGAGCCGCGTATGAAGAATAGAGCTGCTTGAACCTCTGCCTTGGCCTGTCTCAGGCACTTGAACCCACATGTCAAGCCTCATCCGCATCAACCCTTCTCGCCATTGAACCCATGAAGCCCTAAAAACCTAAATCCTCAAACCCTAAAACCTTCAAAACCTTCAAGCCCTAAAACCTAAATCCTCAAACCCTAAAACCTTCGGAACCTTTAAGCCCTAAAACCTATAAATCCTCAAACCCTAAAACCTTCGCAACCCCTGAACCCTAAACCCTAAACCCTAAACCCTACTGAACCCTAAACCCAGTCTCAGTTTTCCTCTCTGAACCTCGCCAAGCTGCACGCCGCCCCCTTCCGCCATGGCTTTCCTCTATATTCTCTGCATGGCCGTCGAGCGCGTAGCGCAACAGCGTTTGAGATTCAGCGGATAAAATTTAGGGTAAAAAATTTGGGGCATTAAATATGTAGGGTATAAAGTTGAGGGTATAAATTTCAGAGTATAAATTTTCGGCTTAGTGTTCAGGGATTGGGGGTATCGTAGAGTTAAGGGCTCTTTTGTAACGAAGGCATGCCGCTGTCACCTGTATTAGGTACATGTACTGTGGCCCTGACAGCCTTGACATTTTCAACGGCTCGAAGCACTCAGAAGAATCATGCGAAACCCTAAGCCCTAAGCCCTAAACCCTACACAGTGAACTTGATCAAACTCGTGCTCTGCTCTGTAGACGACGGGGGGATGTTGGGAGGAGCTGGACTGACACGAAAGGCTTGAGGGGTGAAGAAGGTTGAACCAATTTTCCATACAAGTCGCCTTCGACGTGTAAGTTGTGCTTGGGTAGCTCTCTCTAAATTAGGGTCCCTCTAAAGGGTGCCGTACTATGTTGGGACCCCAAAAGGAAACCCAATTTAGACAACTACCCGCAAAGCGCATTGCAACTGGGTACATGTTTTTCAGTGTCAGTTTGCTGTGCGTTTGTAACCGGGAGAAAGCACCCCGTTTCCTGAAGAAGAGGCGGGTAGGGAGAGGCTGTGCGTCCGAACAACCCGCGAGGAACAGGCTCGAAAGGCTCCATGGGCCATTTCGCAAGCCATTGGTCATTTGTCATGAGCCCGTTGGTCGTTCTCGAGTTTCCAAACCAGTTCTTGTATCTCTACCAAGTAAGGAACATCCCAAAACCTGCCCACGTTGTTTGAAACCCACTCGGCAAGCATTGCCAGTGAACAGCACTTACCACTCACTCATTGACCTTAGCATGTAGTCTTGTGCACCTCCAAGACCACATATTCTTCACCTCAGGCTTCAGATTTTTATGCTCCCTTCTTCTGCTTCTGCCCGAAGACGCTTTCGACATTAGCCGACAGGTGTCTTGATAGGCTCGTACGACTTCTCATCTTGCGTGCGGGAGGATCCCGTGCATGGAAAACCGCTGGCCACAACACCTTTGGTTCGTGAGCAGCTCAAAACTGAACCCTAAACCCTAAACCCTAAACCTTAACCCTGAACCCTGAACCCTAAACCTTGCCTCCTTGGCAGTGTCTTTCAACTCTGAAGGCTCTCGGGCGCAGGGCAATGGGCCACCCCCGTAGAGCCTTTGTAACACGGCCCCCCCCCCCCCCCCCCTCAATCCTTGAACAATCGAGCCCTAAACCCTAAACCCTAAACCCTAAACCCTAAACCCTAAACCCTAAACCCTAAACCCTAAACCCTAAACCCTAAACCCTAAACCCTATTTGGAAACAAGGGGTCCAAGGATCGCCTCTGCAACTCCAGGGCCTTAGGGCCTTGGAGCCTGGGCCTTTGGGGTTTAAGGGTTAAGGGTTTAGGGTTTAGGGATAACTCCCCTTGTCAATGCAGTGGGTATACCGGGGGTTTTGCGGGGCTTAGGGGATTTAGGGTGTTTAGGGCCTTTGGGGGTCTATAACCCTCCCTTGCAAAAGTGGGTATACCGGGGGTTTAGGGGGGTTCAGGGGGGATTAGGGATGTTTAGGGCTTTAGGGTTGAGGGTTTAGCCAAATAAAGAGTCATTGGGAAGATCATAGGAGGCCTTACTTGAATGATCCCTGGATCCTGCTTCCTTAGGACATACTACTTGGTTGGCCTGTAAACCCTTTGAAAACTGTTTATGCTCTGGGCCCCTTATAAACCCAAATAAGGAAAACATAGAATGTCCCCAAAACCAACCTGGATTACCCAGCAACATCTACGGAGTTGCCAAGAACCTCCAAGCTTAGGATCGAGAGAGGGCAGCCCTTGTGCTGAGGCGTCGGCTACGGAAGCCGGCCTACAACAAAGCAGATTCGAGTATCCCAACCCCTGTTTAGGGGTGGGCGACCTTCATTCACTCGCCCAAAAATGAACAATGACGAGCCCCAAGCCCTACTTGCTACGCTCACAACCCAATCACGATTTTCACGGGCTTCGCAGCACGCCTCCCAAGGCGTTTCTTGAGGGTTTTGGGGCTTAGGGTTTAGAGCCTTGGGTTTAGGGCTCACCCTTTTGAGAGTTGCAGGCTCGAACCCATATCCCCCCAAAACCCGAATTCCAAACACCCCCCCCCCCCACCATAACCCTGCAATCTGCCAACCTCTAGCCGCCCTGGCTTCCGTAACCCTGCTTTGATTCGAGCTCAGCGTTTAGCGTCCAGGGTTGATTCTGGAATTTGGAATCTCATTTAGGGTTTAGGGCTACAATGTTCCCCACTAAGGTCTATGGGCCATGCACCTTCGTTGGGCTTTCCTTATTTCCAACGAAGGCCGAGCCTACGGCAACTTGTCATGCCATGCAAACTCTCTCAACAACGGGCTCTCTGAAGAGAGCTGACCATCATAACTCGGCCTTGTAGACCTTCAGATGCGGCAGCCGCCAGGGCGCAAGGCAACGCAAGTGGAGGCCTCGTCCTTTTGCACGTGCAGCGACAGCCCAGGCATGCGCGTGGTCAGGCTTTGGCGCTTTCTGTGCCGCCCGTTTCCCACGGTTTGCCCTAGACAGTGCCCGGCAAGCATGCAGCAGAGCAGTAGGTGCAGGCAGGCCGTGATGCCGTGATGTTCGGCTCTGTGTGAAGCCCTGCTGGGAGACGCCTTACCTTCAATCTGCACGGATGTGTTTAGAAGTCTTGGGCGACCTTGACAGGAGAACGGTGGCACGAGGTTGAGCAGATTGGAGGCAGTTTCGTAGCGGTGCCAACGTCAACAAGGATGGTGGCCCTAAACCCTAAACCCTAAACCCTAAACCCTAAACCCTAAACCCTAAACCCTAAACCCTAAACTGCTGGTTTGGATCCGCAGGAGAGCCCAGGCTGGTGGGGCCCGGAGTGCGAGAGCGGCTCTCAATAACTCTCGCCGATCATCGAAGTTTTAGCATTTTTCAGCACAGCGCCAGGGTTTAGGGTTTAGGGTTTAGGGTTTAGGGTTTAGGGTTTTTTGGTTGACGTTCCGGGGAACAGGTGCGCTGTCCTAATATTTGAGTTTAAGGGTTTCGGATTTGGGGTTTAGGCTTAATTGGGGTTTGGGGCTTTAGGGTTTAGGGTTTAGGGTTTAGGGTTTAGGGTTTAGGGCTTGGGGTTCTTTGGGGTTTAGAGTTCTTTGGGGTTTCTGGTTTCGGGTTTCTAAGGGCCCAAGCAGTTAGGCCCAGCGATCCCCGGCCTCAGGTCATCCTCCAAGGATCCGCGGAACCCATGCCCATGGCCTTCCTCGGATTCGGGTTTAGGGTTTAGGGTTTAGGGTTTGGGGTTTAGGGTTTAGGGTTTCGGGTTTCGGGTTGGAGGGTAGTACTATTCCTAATGGTCCTTTTATGTTTATACCATAATGCCCCCCCCCCCCCCCCAAAACCCTATTCTAAGTACTAAGTCTAGGGTTGGAGGGTGCAGAGATGTCGGCTTCGGGGGAACCCTGATCTCTGAACGCTGAAAACGTGCTGGGCGCCTCGTTTTTTGGGGCGCCAGGAGCCTCTGGGAAGGAATGCGCCGATTTAAGGGTTTCGAGTCCGTAAGCGGAAGCAGTCAGTTCAACACGTCCACGTGGCACAGAATGCCCTCCCATGTCCTCACCTCCTCAAATCCTCTTCCAAGGGTCTCTACTCTAGTGCCGCGGGCTGGGGGGGCCGTTAGAAGAAGCAGGATGCCTTAAAGGGACCATAGTTTAGATCAACCCCCAGTACGCATCAAGCTCAGTTGCAGGAGCAGGTGCAGGCTCGGGCTCATCATCGAGGTGGAATGAGACCTGCAGCATGCGCAAGTTCGCATGCACTGGCCAGAGCCTGAACGAACACCATCATATGACATGTAATCATATATGAATAATACAAGATCATAAACGAATTTTATCGCTTAGTAAATCTATTACAGAAAGATATAATAAGAAAGGACTGTTGAAACAATGATATAACCAGATATTACTACAATACTACAATGAGACTACGATAGAAAAGTGAAAATCGTGTAACAATGTATTAAGGGTTCAGTTCTGTCCTAAACTGCTGTTAAACTGCTAGTACATAGTTTTACAGTCTTGTATCGCCCGAAACCCAAATCCACTCCAAGCCCCCCAAGACCTCGGCGAACTCTAACGCCTTCCCTCGGATCCCTGAGTGCCTGCTCTTCCAGATCAGCGCGTGCAGAAACCTCAGGGGAAGGAGGGTTGGTGTCGTCGTTTAAATCTTTACGGCATCGGAGGTTGCCACCTTAACGGAAAACCTGGTGACGAATTAGTGGCATTGAGACTCCACACTGGCGCCTCGGGGGCGAAAACGTCGGAAATCTCTTGGGCGACCCGGTCGGGGTCCTGCATGCCCACATCCTCGATGCGGACCAGATCGGTCTGCAGTACCAGGTCATTCTGAGCCCTCCCCTCTTCATCCCCCGGCTGTGGGGGGTAGGTTTCGCAGAGCCGAATGGGAATAATGCGCAGCTGCTTCTGGTACGCGTACTTGAGCTCAACGTACGTCTCGTATTGCGCCCCTGTCTTTGCCCCGTAGTCCTCTGTGCAGAAAGCCAGCAAGGCCTTGGCACGATAAAGGCCCAGAGCAGTTTGATCCCCAAACGTGCCGCCAGCTCCTCCTGCATCGACCATGAAGGTGGGCACCCCTTTGGAATCCAGCAACTCCTTAACCCGCTTCATGTACCTCGGCTTCTCGGACTGCGAGGGTTAGCCCTGCCCCCTCTATCAACCCTCTGAAGAAGATTCACGCATAGGAGCCCTGCCCCCCCCCCCCCCCCTTAAACCCCAAACCTGACACCCCAAACCCTAAGCACGACCAAGCGCCGCAACTTTTCGCTGCTGTTGAACCGGCCAGACACCAGAAGGTGTCTCCTTTGCGACGGCGTGGGCGTGGTGTCCTGCGGAACAGGGAACCCCTAAATTGTGGCATAGGGTTGAGGGTGCTAGGGGATGATCCTCTCTGTTACAGAAGGGCTACTCTTTGTCATAAGGTTTACCATTCCCAATAGGGGGAGGGCTACTCTTTGTCATAAGGTTTACCATTCCCAATAGGGGGGTGTACCGGCCACAAAGCCCAAAACCCTAAACTCTTAGGGTAGTTCCATGGTCCCTTAGTACGGACCCGTTTTTCCCCCATGCAAATTAAGGGCCCATACTTCAGAATCCTTCAATGGAGGTTAGGGACCAGGTTAAGCTACCCTCAACCCTACGAAAACATGCACCCCAAGCCGGTTTAGCCTTCATGCTGTCCCTCCACCACCTGCCTGTAACCCTAAACCCTAAACCCTAAACCCCTAAGGCCGCCATTGAGCCCCAGGGTTTTGGGGGGCGCGGCGAACGCCGTGTGAAGGAGATGAGGCAGTTCAAGGCCTAATCGCCGCAACCCTCAGCCCGTCTTGAGGAGCGACTGGCGTCGGCGGGCGATCGGCCGGCACATGGGCATCCTGGTCAGAACCACTGGTTCATCGAGGATTGCTTCATGGGAGCAGACGGTTTTCCCTCCCCAAACCCCAAACTCCAAATCCTACGGTTTTCCCTCCCCAAACCCCAAACCCCAAATCCTAAACCTTCCAACAGCCACACGCCAATGACTCAAAGCCCCCAATCGGAACGAGGCTGCCCAGCCTCCAGCTGAGATTCCTCAGCCTCTTCCCCAGCCTCCTGAATGCCCTGAGACCCACCAGGCACCAGAAATGCCTGTCGGGCCGGGTTTCTTAGGGTTTGGGGCTTAGGGAGAAGACATCCCACAAGCCATCATCGACTGGCAAAGGGGGCCCAACGCCAGGGAGTCAACGGCTTAAGGCTTTCAGTTTCGGGTGCATCGTTTTTCGACATTTGGCAATGGAAGCCTGCTTTTTGAACCAGACCTGGTTTCCTGTCTGGTCTGTGGGAAATTTGGGAGTCGGGCAAACCCTCCAGAAGCCCCATAACCCCCCTCAACCCCTAAAGCCTTAAGGCTACACCCTACACCCTAAACCCCCTAAACCCCCTAAACCCCCTAAACCCCCTAAACCCCCTAAACCCCCTAACCCCCTAAAAACCCCTAAAAACCCCTAAAAACCCCCTAAAAACCACTAAAAACCCCTAAAAACCCCTAAAAAACCCTAAAAACCCCTTAAACCCTCAACCCCTTAAAGCCTGAAACCTTCTGTTTAATGGCTCTAGGGGGCACCTCCAACTGCTTGACCCGAGCCAGCGCCTCCAGGGCCGTGGAATCCTGCATCGTTTTGGGGGGGGTAGATGTGGTACGCCGTAGCCCAAATATAAGACCTATATGGGGTGGTTGTCAAAATTATGGTCCCTTTTTGGGTCCCTATTATAATACGGCACCTAATATTTAGGGTACCCAAAAAGGGACCATAATTTTGACAACCACCCATATGGGCCTATGGGGCCAAGAGCCTATGTAGCATATACTTGGACCTTGAAGGGCTTCCTGCAAAGTAGCCTTAGGGGCTCAAGTATCTGCTATATGGGCGCGTGTACCCGAAGCCAAGGTCTAGAGGATACCCCCCATGTACGGGAGGAGATTCAAAGGGCATTTGTGGGCTCGTGCTGTAGTCTACAGAGGTCTGGCGCTTGTGGAGCCCAGAACCCTCAACCCTAAGCCCTGTACCCTACAGCCCTACACCCAAAGAAGGCCCCACCTCCGGCGGGGTCTTGCTGTGCGATTTGGCAGCACACCAGGCACGCGCACGGCAGATGCACAGGCAGCCGAGGCACATCATCGCGATGGACCTGGGGTGCGATATGCCAAACATGTCAAGGCCTGCACATTCCGTATTTGCAGGTTGTGCGTTTAGGGCGACAGGTTGATACGCTTCACGGGGCCCGGTGAACCCTAAACCCTGGACCCTAAAAAACTCTAAACCCACCAAAAAGCACCACAGAGAGCGGGTCAGGGGGCGCCAGCACAAGCACGGCCACCAGCGCGATGTCCGGGCCCTGAAGGCCGCTTCAAATGCGAAGCTTCGGGGGGTTGGTTTTCAGTGCCTATTTGGTTGCAAAACTCGAACATTGTGCTCGCAGTTTCATAGCAAGATTATGGTGTTCATTTAGTTCCTAGCGTAGGAAAAACATGAAAAAAACCTTAAACCTCCTTTGCACTGTCGGGGCTTAGGATTCCTTGGGAGCATTGGAAGAGCCCTGCAAGCCCTTCCTTTTTTTGTTTGTTTTACTGGGCTTGAAAGGAGACCGCTGTGAGGATATGATTGTAAGGGAGGAAAGAAGAAAGCCACTATCAAAACAGCGGTGACAAGCCCCCAAATGCAGTAGATTCATAATTATCTTTTGCCCTTCTAATTCACATATTCACTACATTCCTGCATTCACACGCTGATTCTTGCGAATAGTCTACCAATATAATCTGTGAACATGAGTGAACAAAGAAGCCAAAAAAGCGAATGCTACTTCCAGGATTATTGGCTTTTTACCAAATTGGAACTACCGCTTACGCTGGAACCGGATCGACATTAGTTTGAGCATGTGAGTGAGCATGTGTTCATATTGCTCATGCTGTTATTGCTATCTTATTGTCTTTGTCGCGCATATCGTTCCTTTCACGCGAGCTGATCGTCATCATAGACAAGAACCGAGGAACATATGTTAACATATAAGGAACAAAGAGCCCCTACATTTGTATTGTTATTTTGTTATTTATGGGGCTCTTTGTCGCTCAGTTACGATTAGGAAGGGTTCCAGCTCCTTTGGTCCTATTTCTTCCACAACCCCCCCCCCCCCCCCCCCCCCCTCCAAGCCCTATATTGTAACGGGTTTTTGGGAGAGAATCCTAAAGAGAAAAAAGAATCCTGGAATGGAAGAAAATGTCGCAAGTTCTTTCTGAGATTGGTTTTATAAGGAGCGTAAGCTTGCATGAAACCACGCGAAGGAATCAATTGCTTGCTTGTCCGCACTTTCTTCTGCAAAGGTCCTCTTCGAAGCATGCTTATGCCCGTGTTACCAGTGAACCCATTGACCAGAGCATCCATGCCCCAACCATGATTGCTTTCTGTGTTCAGCCAAAAAAGGCTGCTCTCTCATTTTTTCGCTACTGGGGTGATAGACGCAACAAAATAGATTGAGACATCGTGTTTTTGGAGTGTCATTTGTAAGGTTTCGGGCCGCGGAATCCGGTAGACCCATCTCCAGCAGCGCGAGAGAAAGATTCAGGACCCACAGATCCGCCCTGGACCCGCAAGCTTTGGGGACTAAAGGCACATGGATTATGGGGAGAAGAGTAGCATGGGGTAGAAGATATCAAGTGAGGGTTGGGGTCAGCCCCAGGAACCTCTGCGACCTCATGTAGGATAGGAAGTAGGTCTTTGCTGGTTGAAAAGGTTACCCGCCCCCGCCCCCAAAGTAAAACCTCAGGTATACACTCACAAAGATGCCTAAGGAAATCCTGTATACACTCACCAAACCGCGACAAGAGCCCAAACCCAGGGGACACCCTTAGGGCTTCGGGTTTAGGGGTTTTGGGATTCCCTAAAACCGAAACCCAAAACCCTTTTAGGGTTTAGGGCTTGAAGGGAACCTGTGGGAGGGGGATCCAAGGCCTCCGCAGTCTCTAAGCTGTTGGTGGGCGGGTCCTGGCACAAGACGTTTAGGGTTTAGGGTTTAGGGTCTGTACCTAGGGTTGTTCTTTCGCCAGGCTTTCTTAGTAGCCGAGGGACAAGGGTTAGTCAGCTTTGCTAGCTGAGGCTTTTCTCAGGGCTTCACCCTAGAAAAAGGAATTGGGGTACTGCCAGGCGCCCTTTGAGGTCTAGGGTATTGAGGGCTGTTGAGGTCGGAATAACAAGATCAAAGCAGCGCTCTTTTTTCCAGAAACAAGGGGCCTTCATAATTTGAATAGGGCTTTTAGGGGATATTGTTGCATAATTGTTCAAGGGCCATACGAGAATACTATTTGTAAATTATTCTGGCCCTATAATTATGGTGCTGGTTTGGGATGTACGGCGTTGAGGGCTGAGGACTCGACAAATCCACCAGCCCTGAACCCTAAACCCTAAACCCTAAAACCTGAACCCTGAACCCTGAACCCTGAACCCTAAACCCTAAACCCTAAACCCTAAACCCAAGGTTTCCGGCGCATCCAGTGGCTCCCACGTGTATCTCTGGGTGTCGATGCTGATGCCAGCCTTGTCAGTAGGGGTTTGGGGTTTGGGGTTTAGGGTTTAGGGTCTGGGGTCTAGGGTTTAGGGGTTCAGCCTTTTGAGCCCCCAATGCGCGCAGACAAATACATCCAACAGAAGCCCGAAACCAAGATGCCCCCAAGATAAAGCCAGAAACGAGCACAGATCTCTTCCTCGCCCTAAACCGTAAACCCTAAACCCCAAACCCCAAACCCTAATTTTCTTTGGGTTTTTTTGTTGGTTGTTATAGTATACTTCTAAAGGGACCATATAAGGGAATTTTCTTAGCAATTATTCCGACCCCTCTATTACGCGTAAGGCTTCGCGCTTCATGACAAGGATCGCAGGCCGAGACTGTGAAAGCCCAACTCTCCATTTAGGGTTTAGGGTTTAGGGTTTAGGGTTTAGGGTTTGGGGTTTAGGGTTTAGGGTGTAGGGTTTAGGGTTTAGGGTTTAGGGTTTGGGGTTTAGGGTTTAGGGTTTCGGGAGTTGCTAGAGTTGCATCCCTTCAAGTGCTCAGGGGCGGGCAGAAAGGGTGCCAATGGGATCCAGCACGCGCAGCGCGCCGCTGCTTCTCCGCAGGACCTCCATCACAAGCACGGGCGCGTCAGCTTCGTAAACTGCTGCACGACATCTGCTTTTTAAAAGGTAACACTAAACCCTAAACAACCCTAAACCCTAAAACACAACAGGGGAGCTGAGACTGCAGGGAGGACCTCGCGGCCCAGCCTCCTCCCTCAAACGGCCCATGAGGTCGCTGGGATCATCCCACGCCGCCGAGCCTGGGGCATTGGCACAGTGCTCTGGACCGACTTGGGGCCTACATCCCTTTGAGGTACAAGTAGAAGACATCGCCTTCGATAGGTCATACCCATGTGTTACTCGGTTCCGATATTGTGAGTAGGGTCCATACTAGTCCATACTCTTCACCTGAGAGTGTCCAAAGCAGCCTGGACGCGAGCCAAGTCTTGTCTTGAAGGAGGCTGCGGTTGCCATGAGGAAGCTTTTCTTGAGAGGAAGGCAGGAAAACTGTGTGCTATGGATTTGGACTACGTAGGCTTCTGGGCAGAAGCAAGCTAACCCGACTCTGATCAAATGATTGCGTCGCTATCCATGCGCCAAGTGCCGCTTCCTTGCGGAGATAAAAGCCGTAAAGCTCAAACTCTACCATCAGAAGAGTTTTTGGCGGGAGGAGTGCCTTAAGAGACCCCAAGAAGCTTCAGGGCTCCGGGATCTACTGAACTTTCCAGTCTTGGGGACTAGATGAACCCGAAAAGGGCTTCTAAATTCTCTACGTGTGCATAATCCCAATTGAAGAGCCAACGCCCTCAAGGATTGCAGCGCAGGCAAGCCGCTGATCTCCTGCAGGCGACGCGTTGACGCCTGCTTTCCTGGCGCTTCGAGGGTTCAGATGCGCGCAACTCAATGAACTTCAAGGGGGCTCATGGTCCGATTTTTGCCAGGGCCTAGGGGTTGTAGCGATTCATGAATGATTAGCCCCCAGAATAAGATCTCTTGGAGTTCGAAGTGACAAGTTCAAGTAGCAGAGGTTGTCCACCAGGCGCGCGAGGAGACAACAGAATTGTTCTGGAGCTCTGGGTAAGGAAGGCTTCGACGTTGCAACGTTTGAGGCTCTTTCTGGCTTGGGTTGCCTGCAGTGCCGTCTTGTCAGGGAGCTTGTGTCTGTGTCGAGCTCGGAGTTTCATGGATTCAGGTTGTGCAGGTCACACGGAGGGCCCCTACCCTCTACACACTGAGCCGCGCAAAGGAACCCTAGACCCTTATTAAACCCCAAACCCTAAACCTCAAACCTAATGAACCCCTCCTCTCTCTGCTTTGTTGGACCTTCGGGGTTTGGACCCCAAATGCAGGAACTCCGAACCAAAGATCACTTTTCTGAATCGTCCACCTTGAGGACGACACGAACCATAAATGCTTTTTGAAAAGGGCTTTACGGGGGTCGCGGGCTTCGGGTGGAAGGGTTCTGAGATGGTGCCAATTTTGGGCTTCCTTTGGTTCCCTTAGCACAAGGCACAAGCAAGCTGACTGCGCAGAGCCCTGTCCTGGGCCGGAGATGGTGAACCTTCTCTGAGTCGCAGGGTTCCGATACACGGAGCACTAAACTTCAGGAGATATTCCGTGGGAGGTGAACCGAATTCCCCCCCCCCCCCCCCCTCGGAGACACGGGCTTCGGGGTGTTGGGCTATCGGGGCTTCAGAGAGCTTCTGGAAGCCCCAGGTCTACGGATTGAGGTACGAAACTCTTTCGACACCCCTGGTTGTCTTAACTTCCCCTGCGGAGCTCAGCACGCTAAAGCCTTGAAAGCCTCACCAAGACCAACAGCATCAGCCCGAATGTGGAGGAGCTGTGGCACTTGGCCGTCTGAAGCGATATCCCCAAGCCCTGCAATGCGAGCAGCGTCAGAGTTCGACCCACCAGGCTAAGCGCGGTCAGCATCCTGGGAAAGGGGTGCTGTAGGGCTTGAGGCTGAGGGTTTAGCTCCGGAGGGAGTCTGGGAAACGTCCACCAGTTTCCAGATGTTCACTGCCCTATAAACCGCGAACCCCTATCATCCTAACCTTAAACCCTACACATCCTGTAAACCCCTATAACCCTATAAGCCCCTACACCCTGGCCACTATACTCCCTGAACCCTAGAGTGGCAGGCTCCTACAGAAGTTTGTTTGGGATCCTGGCATTTTGGGTTTAGGACATCGGTTGGAAACCAAGTGAAGCCGAAAAAGCTGGATCCGAACCCCTGTGTTGCTCTACATCCTACTATGACATATGATCCTGTGCGTCCGGCCACTGTACCTCCCGATCCCTCCCCTCCCCCCCCCTGAATGGCGTGGTTGGGGGGTTTGGGTGTAAAGTTTTTGGTGTAAGGTTTAAGGTTTAGGGGTTTCGGGTACGCTACACCCTAAACCCTAAACCCTAAACCCTAAACCCTAAACCCTAAACCCTAAACCCCAGGGGGAGGGGGGGAGGGGGGGGCGGCGGTGGGGGCTGGGTTGGTGAACCGAGAGCCGGGATCATGTAGACCATTTGGGCTTGCTGGCTGGGGAGCCATGCCATGGCGGAAAAAATGTACCAGGAGGCGTTTAGGGTTTAGGGTTTAGGGTTTAGGGGCTAGTGGATTTAAGGGACCCTAAGCCGTAAAACCCTAAACCCGCAAGGTGTAGCTAGGCTTTTTCCGGCTGGCGCTGGAGAAGACTGCAGTTGGTCGAGTGCTTGAATTACAAGAGGGCTTCGAGTCTGCTCTCGGGCTTAGGGTTGTTTAGGGTTCTGGCTACCCTAGCCAAGAGGCTGCGAAAAGAACAATTGGCGCTGTCAGCATTTTTGATGAATCGAGAGCGTGGAAGATGCAAGTGGACAAGCTGTATCTTCGTTTACCTATTTGCGGCGTGTATCTTCAACATGTCGTGAAGGCCAGTTACTTGATAAAGCCTCATGCCAGACACAAAGGGGTCCTGCATGCAGACAGAAGCTACGACTGCAAGGGCTGCAGGTGTCGCGCTGCGAGGCTAATGGGGTTCAGTTTCAGGAGAGTCGCCCAGTGGGAATCTCCACCAGATAACGGAGCTGCAGCTCAGCGTTCGCCAAGGCAGTGTGAGCATCCGCCCGGATCCTCAGTGCAAACGCAAGCCAGGCTCCCCTAACGCTGAAGCATCAACAACGAGAATGCCTTTACATGCTGAATTCTTCCTGTCCTTGGGGACGAAATGAACCTTAAACGGGTTTTTGGTCCGTATACGGACCCGGAGTAGAGTAGCACGTGGGTTCTAAACCAGATTTTAGGGATCATTCATTTGGTCCCGAAGGATTTTTTCTGAAAAGGCTACTGCTTTGTAGGGCCCTGGCGTGGACATCTGGAGAATCCTTGGCTGTTCAACCCAGTCAAACTTTGCCCACAGAGTTGCTAGCTGCTACGACGGCCGCGAGTCTTACGCTGGGGCTGGGGGACGTCTGGGGCCCCTTACAGGGGCTCCCCCCGAGTGTCCCAGAAACACTCCTAAGAGTGAGACAGGAGGACTTGCTCTGAGCATTTCTAAATCAAAAAAAACCAAGACTCATTCTTGAAATCTCCAGTATCTCCGAGGTGACGTTCGGCCTGGCCTGCCGGCCAAGTTGGCACTGCTGCCAAACAGGCACAGTGGCACCGGACGGACCTGGGCTAATACAGGGGCCTGAATAATTCGAATAGGGTTTTGGGGGGTTATTATCGTTACAATGGGACCATAAGGAAATACTTTTGGTAACTATTCCGAAGAAGCAGGCCGAGAAGAAGGGCGCAGCAAGGTTGCCGTCCGTTTCATACTTTTCGGCTTTTGGGGTTTGGGGCCGCGGCGTCCTGGCGGAAGTGAATCGAACCCTTCCTTTCAGATGGTTGAGGGTTTAGGGTTTAGGGTTGAGGGTTTAGGGCTTAGGGATTCATTCGAAACCGGCATACGAAGTGGAAGTAGGTCTGGAGATTGTCTTCGGAACTATTCGGAACATTTGATTCAGCGACTTTGTACTTGTGATGGCATGGATGACGTGGCACTTTGACGGGGTTCCAAGAAAGCATGTAGGTTGTTCTCTAAATTAGGATACCTTTTGGGGTCCTCATTTTAAGGGTGCCGTACTGTATAAACGACCCCAAAAAGTCGTCTGTTACGGTCCATGTACCTGCCTGAGTGATATACATGGTATTTGCATTTGGTTTCCGTGGGTTGCCCTTGAAAGGGCACGCTGAAGACGAGCTGGCATTGTGGGGGGGGGGGGGGGGGGGGGGGGGGGGGGGGGGGGGGAAGCACGGCAGTACGAGGTCCAGAATGAGGCTCAGCCGTTAGTCTCACTTTTTCAAGTCAATCGCTTAGCACGATGCATTCAATCACACCGTGTCCTCTATAGCAGGCTCCGCAAGTAACATCTAACCCTAGACCCTTAAAAAACCTGAAACGCCTACCCTAAACCCTAAATCTTAGACCCTGTATCTTAGCCGCAAGCCAAACTCTTCCAAAGGCACAGATCTTCATCGACGCCCCAGCGCTGCAATCGCCCCAGGGTTGGCAACCTGGGCTGGAGCCCTTGAGTCTACTTCGGGGTTTTGGGCCTAAGGGTTTAAAGCCAGCCCCTGTAAAAGTCAAGCTTCAAAGGGCTTCAACAGAACCCCATAAAACCAACCAGGCCTGCATGCCTGTCGGAATTTTCGAAGGGTGGCTGGGATAAAAGAGGGTCCGACGATACCGCTGCACTCAACATCCTCATTCTCCCAAAGCTTTGACAGCTTTACGGCTGGAGCAATGTAGCATCGCCATTTCGTCGTGAGCATCAAGTGCATCACATACCCAATCATTTTCCTGCTATATTAAACATATGGATCATAAGCCCCAAGCAATGACCAAACCCAAAGCCTCATTCATGCATGCGGGCCAGAAGCCCTTTTAGCGTCATTTCGTCCCTAAGGAACCCTAAACCCCAAAACCTTTTGGTTTCATGTAGTCCCTAGGGAACCCTGAGCCCAGAACCAACTGATTAGGATGCCTCCAAGGTGCTAACCCTGGTGATCTGCACTGTTTCTGAGACGCTGTCGATCCTGGGATCGCTACAGGGCTTACAATTAGGGTTTATAGGGTCTATAAGGTTTACAGGGTTTATAGGCTTTGCAGAGCTTATCGGGCGAAAAGGATTCTTTTAGGGGTTTTGTGGGGTTGCAGGGTTTATAGGGTTTAGAGGGTTTTAAGGAATTGTAGGGCTTAGGGCTTAGGGGATAGCCCACCTGGGACGTGTTCCCAAAGCCTTACAGAGCCTTAACACCCAAAACCACAACCTTAAATCCTAAACCCTAAAACCCAGAAGACCGCGCTGAGCTGGTTCCTAAACCCCATGAGGTTTCATGGTGTCCTTAACGGGTGGATAGTCATAGTGGCTTTAGGGTTTAGGGTTTGGGGTCGGGTCTTATAATGCTTTGTAGGGTTTCATGGTGCTGTATCAAGGGCTGATCGTACATCGTGTGGCAGCCATGACTCTGAACACACGTCCGGCTACCTCGAGCCAGGTCGTTGATGGAACACGGCGCGGGGCAGGCGTTGGCAATTCCGCCTGAGAGGTTACACGTTCTAATTGCTGAGGCCAGGAAGCCCCTATACATCCTACATACGCCAGCAACCCTAAACCCTTCAAAGCCGTCAAGCCCCGACCCTAAAGCACAAACCCCTGGACCTTAAACCCTCCCTCAACTCGACAATGCCCTGAAGCCCCCCACCCCTACTCCCCTCCCCCTTGGTTTAGGGTTTATGGTTTACTTGGGCTTAAGGGGTCATAAGGTTTCGGTTGGAGAGGGCTTACTTATAGGGGTCCATTTGGGGGTTTCCCAAATCCGGGTACCCCTAATATACCACAAAATTCTATAATCCTTACTGCAGGAAGCCCCAACAAAGGTACCCCTATTTTCGGAAACCTCGGTCCGTACTGCCCATCTAAAGCAATGAGCGCCGCGTTTAAGGATTAGCCTCTCCCTGACCCGCAGCGTTCCAAACTAGATTGGGTTCCTGTATTGGCTGAAATCCGAGCGGAGTGGCTGGTTACCTTTGCGATGCACGTCGTTCGGTTCTCCTTAGTCGGGTTAAGGCTCCTTCTCTTGTGCTCTGAGTGGTTCAAGGCTTTAAGGCTTTCGTTTCTACAGGTGTAACAGTTGGCTGCCGCTAACCTCATCTTTGTCATGGCGGTCGTTCTAAGTCCTTACTCAAATGGAAGCTAGCTTTTGAAAGTGGATAGAAAACCCAAAAGACCCCTTAAAAACCTTAGAAGCTCCAAACAAGCCGTAAAGCCTGTAATCCCAGAGCCCTACGTCCTTAAAGCACCGATTCCCCTAATTCCCAGAGGCCGAAAAGTCGATGAAGTCTTTATAACCCTCCGAAACATCCATACAAAAAACAAGAAGCCTGAAGCCCCCCTGAAGCCCACCAAAACACCCGCCCTAAAATCCCCAAATTCCTGAACCCTGAACCCTAAATTCTCGAAATCCTCGAAACCTCTCAAGCCGCAACCCCGAAGGCCTCAAGCCCCAGTAAGGATCGGGCCAATGGGTCCAGGCAGCGCAGCCTCTGGTTGCGGATGTTTGGGGTCTTGGGCTTCTGCGATGCTTATAGGGGCTGTGCCAGTTGTTAGCCGCTTGCTGTAGGGCCGCCGCAGGGTTTAGGGTCGGAGGTCTCCATTGTTTACGCCACGCCGCGGCCGCGGCCGCGGGGGGGGGGGGGGGGGTGTGCAGCTTAAATAGGGTCTATTTGGAAGCTGAGACTCGGGTTTTAAAGAGGAAATAAGGCCCCAAAACGTATGCTTATTCACAAAAGCCATCTGCCAAATAGACCCTGTTGTCGTTTCTGGGGGTTCTGGGGCAAGGAACTAAATAATTTAAATAATTTAAATCCGAAAGGGGCGTTTCGGATTTAAATTATTTAAATTATTTAATTCTGGGAAGGGGGGGGGGCCTGGTCGGGCCTGGCCCGCCCCCCTTTTCGGATTTAAATTCTTTAGATTATTTAAATTATTTAGATTATTTAAATTATTTAAATTATTTAAATTATTTAATTCCGGGGGGGGAATTAAATAATTTAAATCCGAACCCCCCCTTTCGGATTTAAATTATTTAAATTATTTAATTCCCCCCCCCCAGAATTAAATAATTTAAATAATTTAAATAATTTAAATAATTTAAATAAATTAAATCCGAAAAGGGGGGGGCCAGGCCCGGGCCCCCCCCCCCTTCCCAGAATTAAATAATTTAAATAATTTAAATCCGAAAGGGGCGTTTCGGATTTAAATTATTTAAATTATTTAATTCTGGGAAGGGGGGGGGCCTGGTCGGGCCTGGCCCCCCCCCCCTTTTCGGATTTAAATTATTTACATTATTTAAATTATTTAAATTATTTAAATTATTTAATTCCGGGGGGGGGGGGAATTAAATAATTTAAAAAATTTAATTCCGAACCCCCCCTTTCGGATTTAAATTATTTAAATTATTTAATTCCCCCCCCGGAATCAAATAATCTAAATAATTTAAAAAGTTTAAATAATTAATTTAAATAATTTAAATAAATTAAATCCGAAAAGGGGGGGGGCCAGGCCCGGGCCCCCCCCCCCTTCCCAGAATTAAATAATTTAAATAATCTAAATCCGAAAGGGGCATTTCGGATTTAAATTATTTAATTCTGGGAAGGGGGGGGGCCTGGTCGGGCCTGCCCCCACCCCTTTTCGGATTTAATTTATTTAAATTATTTAAATTATTTAATTCCGGGGGTGGAATTAAATAATTTAAATAATTTAAATCCGAAAGGGGTGGTTCGGATTTAAATTATTTAAATTATTTAATTCCCCCCCCGGAATTAAATAATTTAAATAATTTAAATAATTTAAATAATTTAAATAATTTGAATAAATTAAATCCGAAAAGGCCCCCCCCCCTTTTCGGATTTAATTTATTTAATTTATTTAAATTATTTAAATTATTTAATTCCGGGGGGGGGAATTAAATAATTTAAATAATTTAAATCCGAAAGGGGGGGTTCGGATTTAAATTATTTAATTCTGGGAAGGGGGGGGGCCTGGTCGGGCCTGCCCCCCCCCCTTTTCGGATTTAATTTATTTAAATTATTTAAATTATTTAATTCCGGGGGTGGAATTAAATAATTTAAATAATTGAAATCCGAAAGGGGGGGTTCGGATTTAAATTATGTAAATTATTGAATTCCCCCCCCCCGGAATTAAATAATTTAAAATAATTTAAATAAATTAAATCCGAAATGGGGGGGGCCAGGCCCGGGCCCCCCCCCCTCTCCCAGAATTAAATAATTTAAATAATTTAAATCCGAAAGGGGCGTTTCGGATTTAAATTATTTAATTCTGGGAAGGGGGGGGCCTGGTCGGGCCTGCCCCCCCCCCCCCCCCTTTTCGGATTTAATTTATTTAAATTATTTAAATTATTTAAATTATTTAAATTATTTAAATTATTTAAATTATTTAATTCCGGGGGGGGGAATTAAATAATTTAAATAATTTAAATCGAAAGGGGGGGTTCGGATTTAAATTATTTAAATTATTTAATTCCCCCCCCCCGGAATTAAAAAATTTAAATAATTTAAATAATTTAAATAATTTAAATAATTTAAATAATTTAAATAATTTAAATAATTTAAATAATTTAAATAATTTAAATATTTTAAATAATTTAAATAATTTAAATAATTTAAATAATTTAAATAATTTAAATAATTTAAATAATTTAAATCCGAAAAGGGGGGGGGGCCAGGCCCGACCAGGCCCCCCCCCTTCCCAGAATTAAATAATTTAAATAATGTAAATCCGAAACGCCCCTTTCGGATTTAGCTTCTTTAAATTATTTAATTCCTTGCCCCAGAACCCCCAGAAACGACAACAGGGTCTATTTGGCAGATGGCTTTTGTGAATAAGCATACGTTTTGGGGCCTTATTTCCTCTTTAAAACCCGAGTCTCAGCTTCCAAATAGACCCTATTTAAGCTGCACACCCCCCCCCCCCCCCCCCCCCCCCCCCTCTCTTGTTCAATGGCCCCCCCCCCCCCTTGTTCAAGGGGGGGGGGGGGCCCCCCCCCCCCCCCCCCCCCCTTGGTCAATAACAGTGTTCTTAATAGGGTTCCACTTGATTTAAATTAGCGTTTTAATAGGACTTCTTTTGATTCTAATCGGGTTTTTGTTACTTTTGAAAGATTTCTAATAATATGAATGAGATTTTTATCCCTTCTAATAAGATTTGTATTAGGTTTAACGGGATTCGTATTGAAATAATAGAAATCCTTGTCGAATTAAGTCCGATTAGAAATGCTACGAAAAAAGAAGGCAAATAGAAATCTTGTTACATTAATAGAAATCCTCTTGAAATTAGAAGGATTCCGAATAAAAAGCAATAGGAATCCTACCAAACATGGCAGAGGAAATGTGGAATTGAGCATGGGGGGGGGGGGGGGGGGGGGGGGGGGGGGGGGGGGGGGGGGGGGGGGGGGGGGGGGGGGGGGGGGGGGGGGGGGGGGGGGGGGGGGGGGGGGGGGGGGGGGGGGGGGGGGGGGGGGGTTACCTTGAATATCCGCAGGCCTCTTTTTTACGCACTCTCATGCTTTCAGGGTTTAGGGTTTAGGTATACTCTTAAGTGCAACTATGTTTGGGGTTTTGGGGCTCCGAACCTTTTCACCTCCTACACTCCTAAACCCTAAACCCGAAACCCTAAACCCTAAACCTTAAACCCTGACCCTAAACCCTAAACCCTAAACCCTAAACCCTAAACCCTAAACCCTAAACCCTAAACCCTAAACCCTAAACACTAAACACTAAACCCTAAACCCTAAACCCTAAACCCTAAACCTTCGCCCGCTTGTCTGAGGCGACTGCATGGATCCTCTGCAGCTTTGAGAGGGTTTCGGAGTTTAGGGTTTAGGGTTGAGGGTTTCGGGTTTAGGGTTTAGGGTTTGCGGTTTAGGGTTTAGGGTTTGGGGTTTAGGGTTTAGGGTTTTAGGGTTTAGGGTTCCAGGTTTTAGGGTTTCGGGTTTTGGGTTGAGGGTTGCAGAGTTTCAGGGCTTAGGGCTTTGTCGGGGCTTAGGGGGGTTTTGGAGTTTTTGGGGTTTTGGGGTTTGTTTGTGTTTTTGGTGTTTTTTTCGGGGGCGAAGATTGTCTGATGTTTCGGGGTTTCGGGGGTTTAGGGGCCGGACTTCTACGGGCCATGGTTCGTGGGATTGTTGGTCTCTCGTTTTGTTGGGGTAAACGGAAACCAGACGGTTCAGGACTTGGGGTTTAGGGTTCAAGACATGAATGCCACGGTATTGAGCTGAGGTTCTGCTGATTGTGGTCTCCTTGTTTTTGTGGATGCTTCAGGTAGGGTGCTTGGGGTGTTTAGGGTGTTTACGCTGCTTAGGGTTAGTCGCGGGCCCGAAACTTTGCATATCTCTGAACCTCAAGCCCCCTCCCCCCCCCCCCACCCCAAAACAGAAACAAATCCTGGAACCCTAAACCCTAAACCCTAAACCCTAAACCCTAAACCCTAAACCCTAAACCCTAAACCCTAAACCCTAAACCCTAAACCCTAAACCCTAAACCTCCACACGCCTCAGGATGGCAGCGACGAGCCGGGAACCTCGGCCTGCGCGGGCCTCGACGCCACGCTCTTCCACTGCAGGAGGGCGCAGGGGTTTAGGGTTTAGGGTTTAGGGTTTAGGGTTTAGGGTTTAGGGTTTAGGGTTTAGGGTTTAGGGCTTTAGGGTTCCAGGATTTGGTTTTTGTTGGTTGGTTTGGGGCTTTGGGGTGTTCTTGCGGGGTTTCGGGGTTTTGGGGTTTAGGGTTTAGGGTTTGGGCCCACCCTAAACCCTAATCCCTATTTGGTACTTATAGCCCCTACCCCCTAAGTCCTCAAAGTCGGTAAACGGTGGACTTATGATGGGGGTTATAAGTACCCATGAACCTCCAAGTAACTTTGTGGTGCTTTACTGTAACTTTACATCTTTAGCCTTTTTGGGTTTATTGGGTTAAGAGACAAGGCAGCTAAAGATTAAATTTATAGCTACCCTGCTAAGAGCAGCCAAGGTAACACCCCTCCCCCAACCCGGAGGAATGCTGATGGCCTTCCCAAGCTGCTCTACGCGTCGCGCCACGCGGACGAAGAGTCAGAGAATGGGGGCCTACTTGTTGGGGGTTGGCATGTTTTCAGGGGTTTTCTGGGTTTTCGAGGGCTGCAGGGGTTTGAAGGGTTCTCTAGGGTCGTAGGGTTCTCAGATTTAAGATTTTGGGTTTCGGGTCGAAGGATTCGTTTTCAGGTTCGCGGGTGATAAGAAACCTTCATTCAGGTCAAGTTACTTTACTTATCTCTTCCCGAACCCCTAAACCCTAAACCCGAATCCCGAATCCCCAATTCCCAAACCCTGGACCCTAAACCCTAAACCCTAAACCCTAAACCCTAAACCCTAAACCCTAAACCCTGAACCCTAAACCCTATTAAGGACTGTCCCAAACCCTAGACTTTAACGAGCTGTTTGATTTCAGGCATCCGAGACGGCATCTGCGACTGTTGCGACGGAAGCGACGAGCCTTTGTCCGCAAGCGCAGTCGACTTGGTTTCTTGTCAAGGATGGGGCTGTTCCCCTTTATACTAACAGATTCCTTAATCGGGATTCTAGTACCCCCCCTTCCTATAATCCCTAAACCCTAAACCCTAAACCCTAAACCCTAAACCCTAAACCCTAAACCCTAAACCCTAAACCCTAAACCCTAAACCCTAAACCCTAAACCCTAAACCCTATTAAGGACTGTCCGTTAGTATAAGGGGGAGCATCCCAAGTGAAGGAGCTCAAAGTCGATTGCCCAGAAACGAGGGTCCAGTCAACACAGCTCCCAGATCTCGCACCTCTAAGTCCTATGCCGCTAGGGTTTAGGGTTTGGGGTTTAGGGTTTAGGGTTTAGGGTTTAGGGTTGCTACTGGAGTCAACAGAACCCGAGCCACAGCACGTGTATGTTGGATTGTTGTTGCAAGATGTGTCAGGCCGTGCGCCACCTGGCTGAGGGGTGACGTGGTTGAGGGGTTTAGGGGTTTTGTAACCCTAAACCCTCAGACCTCCACCCTAAACCTTAGACTAGACCCTAAACCCTCCGCCCTAAACCCTAAACCCTAAACCCTAAACCCTAAAACCCTAAACCCTAAACCCCAAACCCCAAACCCTAAACCCTAAACCCTAAACCCTCACCAGTAAAGCTTACACCCCCTGAGATGGCTCTTATCCTAAAGCCCTAAACGCCCATATCCTTTCAATGCATTCATTCATGTGAGTACAAGTGTTGAGGGTTAAAGTCTTTAAGGTTTAGGGCGTGGGGCCCGAAGCCTAAAACGCCTCAAGCCAGAAAACCGAGGAGAAGGTTGGAAGATCTTCTCCCTGCAGTGGTTTGGCCTGGACGTGGAGGTTAGTTTCGAAGGGTTGCCGAAACCCTAAACTCTAAATTCTAAACTCTAAACTCTAAACTCTAAACCCTAAACCCAAAACCCTACCCCTAAACCCTAAACCCTAAACCCTAAACCTCTAGGGCTTTAAGGGTAGAGTTTCAGCATCCGGCTTTGGAGTGTCAACCGTTCAGCAACCTCTAAAACCCTAAAACCCTAGAACCCTAAAACCCCTAAACCCTAAAATCCTAAAACCCTAAAACCCTAAAACCCTAAAACCCTAAAACCCTAAAACCCCTAAACCCTAAACCCTAAACCCTAACCCTAAACCCTAAATCCTAAACTCTAAGCCCTAAACCCCGCAGCCTTTAAAACAGCCTGAAACGGTACATCTGCAAGCCCCGAACCCCAAACAGAGGCTCTCCGTAGGCTCTCCAGCTGGGAGTTAGGGTTTAGGGTTTGGGGTTTAGGGTTTGGGGTTTAGGGTTTAGGGTTTAGGGCTTAGGGTTTAGGGTTTTGGGTTTAGAGTTTTGGGTTTTGTTCGGGCTTAGGGTTGAGGGTTCTTTTGGGTGATTTGCCTTTCCTCTGTCTCCGGGCTTTGGCTTACGCAGGCTCCCTGCACATCTTCTTCGGCCACATGTGTTTTTCAGGGGCCGCCTTTTCTTGAAAGAAGTGACGCGCAACAGACAACTGCAATAGCACGGTACTCCTATTCAAGTGCCGAAGCCTTAGCTTCACTCAAGTTCCTAGAAGCCCTAACCCCATACCCTATGTCCTGAACCCTCAACTCACCCTGCACCCGGAAAATCTCCACGCTAAGCCCTAATCCCTACGCCCTAAATCCACACCCTGAACCGCAGAAGAACTCGACTCCACAGCGAGACCCCTACCAGGCTAGAGGCGGCGAGAAGCCACAACCTGAACCCCGAACCCTCAACGCTAAACCCAAACCCTAGCCCCGAAACCCCAAATCCTGCTTACGAATGCCCGTGAACCTTCAAGTAGCAGACTTCGGAGCTTTGAAGCCCAAGAATCTTGCTCAGGGATTAGGGTTTAGGGTTTAGGGTTTAGGGTTTAGGAGACGTCATATGTGGGAATCCCCATAATCTAAGGCCAAGAGCTTCTCAAGGTTGGGTCTTGAGGGGTTGAGGGCTTGGGGAGCAACCCCTTGCATTGCAGACCTTTGGTTTCACGGGGTTCTGGCCCAATTGTTCAAGGTCTAGGGTTTCGGGTTTCGGGTTTAGGGTTTGCTCCATCAAGGTAACACCTGCCAGCAAGAGAAGGTCGAGCGAGAAAGAGCCTGCGCCTGCACCGATTGACTTTGAGGGAAGGGTCCCAGAGACTCCAGACCCCCCCCCCCCCCCCGCAAAACAAAAAAAAACAGCCCCCCCAAAAAAACAAACAGAACAAAACAACAACAACAGCCCCCAAAACAACAGTCCGAAGGGCTTTAGGGTGCAGGGTTGAGGGATTTAGGCCCATCCCCATCCTTCAAGACCTTTAGGGCTTTGAGGGTTCGGGGTTTCGGGGCCCGGGGGGCGCAAGGGAAGCCCTCCAAAACTGCTTGGGAAGCCTGGCCCCTCGGGTTGTCGGATTTTAGGGTGTAAGGATTTAGGGTTTAGGGTTTGGGGTTTGGGGTTTAGGGTTTGGGGTTTAGGGTTTAGGGTTTGGGGTCTCAAAGTGCTGAAGCTTGTGGACCCCAACCTTATGTGGAGATCAGAACTTGGAGGTTCCGCGTACTTATGACCCCAATTATGCCTGCCCTTACAAGCCCCCTGTCTATAAGTAGACAACCCTAAACCCTAAACCCGAAACCCGAAACCCTAAACCCTAAACCCTAGCCCTAAATCCTAAACCCCAAACCCTAAACCCCAAACCTTTGCAAAGCCTTCCCCCAGGGCTGTTGGAGCGCCTGCAGAAGGGCCTGGAGAAGCACAAGGCGCCAGGGTTCAGGGTTTAGGGTTTAGGGTTAGGGTTTGGGGTTTCGGGTTTAGGGTTAGGGTTTGGGGTTTCGGGTTTAGGGTTTTAGGGTTTCGGGTTTAGGGTTTGGGGTTTAGGATTTAGGGTTAAGGGTTAAGGGTTTAGGGTTTAATTAGGGTTTAGGGTTTAGGGCTTAGGGCTTGGGGTTTGGGGTTTAGGGTTTAGGGTTTGGGGTTTGGGGTTTAGGGTTTAGGGAGCAGAAGCGGTGTCAGGCTTCTTGAGGTGTGTAGGGTTGGCGCGTCCTTAGAGTTTAGGGTTTAGGGTCCCAAAACTTAAGCCCTAAACCCTAAACCCTAACCCTAAGCCCTAAACCCTGAGCCCTAAGCCCTAAGCCCAAAACCCTAAACCCTAAACCCTGAACCCGCAGGGTGGGCCCGCCTGAAGGAGAGCCGCCGCGAAGCCAAGAACACCCGGCACCGTTGGCGGGATGAGGTGCCTCATGGGGTTTGAGGGTTTAGGGTTTAGGGTTCCTAGATTCCTAGGGTTCCTAGGGTTCCTAAATTTCCTAGGGTTCCTAGAGGGTTCCTAGGGTTCCTAGGGTTCCTACATTTCCTAGGGTTTGTAGGGTTTGTAGGGTTCCTAGGGTTCCTAGCCTCCTCCTAGGGTTCCTAGGGTTCCTAGGGTTCCTAGGGTTCCTAGGGTTCCTAGGGTTTCTAGGGTTTCTAGGGTTCCTAGGGTTCCTAGGGTTCCTAGGGTTCCTAGGGTTCCTAGGGTTCCTAGGGTTCCTAGTTTTGGGTTGAAGGTTTAGGGTTTAGGGTTTAGTGTTTGAGGGGGTTTGAGGGGGTGTAAACCAATCTATACGCCGGATGAAAAATCGATAATCGGAAAACAAATGCTCAACGATGCAGGGGTTTGGGGGTTTGAGGGGGTTTGAAAGGTTTAGAGGGTTTAGAGGGTTTCGCGGGTTTAGAGGTTTTAGAGGGTTTAGAGGGTTTAGAGGTGTGGAGGGTTTGGGGTTTAGGATTTAGGGTTTGGGGTTTTGGGTTTGGAGGGTTTCGGGCTTGGGGTTCAGGGCTTTGAGGTGTTTAGAGGTTTCGGGTTTAGGCTTGGGGGTTTAGGGTTTCCGGGCTTTTGGGGTTTGGGATGTGGGGGTTTTAAAGGGTTTCGGGGCTCAGGGTTTACAAGGTAAACGGTTTGCAGAGGTGTTAGAAGCCTTTTTAGAGTTCAAAAGGTTTAGTGTTTAGAGAGGTTTGGATTCAGGGTCTAGGTGGTTTTTGCGCAGATAGTACAGTGTTTGTGCAGCCTTTCCCTTGAGTAGTGTTTGAGCCCAATACGTGTTAACACTGCAGCCCTGTGTTGGCTTAAAAGTCCGAGCTTTTGTGAGTTTAGCACTCCGCGCATGGTAGCGGAGCTCCTGGTCGGCAGCCAGGGCTCCGAGACTTACTAAGGGGTGCAACCCCTGAAAGGCGGGAGCTACCGCATAACCCCCTTTAGGGGTGCTGCAGCTCCGTTCCCGAGGTCCGTGTGTAGGACCCGGTCAATCCTGCAGAGACGGGAAAAGGTGGTGGAAAGGAGAAAGGGGAGAGCACGAGATCCCCTGAGGCCATAGCACGCCGACTTGCTCGTGGCCTAGCAAGACGCCTGCAGAGGGAGGCGGACAACGAAGAGGTAGCCTTGGAACAAGGACAGGAGCAGCCCGAGGCGCGTGAAACCAGAGCTGCTCCCGCGTTGAACCTCAGCTACCTGGAGGGACTTGCCTTGCAGGGTGGAAGCCAGCAAAACCTGGCCGCGATCCCTGAGGCGAGGGAGTTCGTGGGTGACGAGAGGTCACTGTGGACGGGTGAGCCTAGGAACAAGGCTTCGGTAAACTACCGCCGTGCTCAGCAAGCACGGGACGCAGTTTTCAAAGGTACCCCTTTTGCTCAACGCTTTCTGGAGGACAGACCTGGAAGGCAAGCAAGGGCAAGCTTTGCGAGGGACGAGGCTGTTCGACGCGTGGCAGCAGGACCTACCCCCAGTTCCTCGTCAAGCACAAGTGCGGTAACTCACCGACAGGGATCGGAGAGACAAAGTGTGGAGGAAGCGCCGACGCTTTCCCACGCACCAACAACAGAGTTCGAGTCAGTCGCTCCAACTCACCCTGCCACCAGCGTGTACTACAGCTCCGACGAGGAGGTTGAGGTCCAGGTGGAAGAGGAACCTGAGTCCTCAGTGACGCACCTTTCGGTGACAGAGGACACAAGCCCTGCAACAGCAACCTCGGCAGGATCGTCCTCGTGGTACAACTCCAGGGCCGGCAGCGACATCTGGAGGAGAGACGAGACTCGCAGGAACGAGTAGTGGGAGCGCTACCAGCCGTACCACGCCAACTACAGGTGGCAGCGTGGTGACTGGGACAACTGGTGGGAGACCGAGACTTGGAAGGAGCGCAGGTGGGGAAGAGACCCCCATTGACTGCGGGAGCTACCGCACACGGTCGTGAGTAGATCGGTGTATAGTTCTGTACAAATTCATTTTCCCTTGATTTGGTTTTCCAAGTTTTCCCTTTCAACTTTCTAGGTCACACTCCGTGTGGGCCTAGGCACTGAGAGCTATGGAACAACAACTGGTGCAGATGCAGCAACAAATGGCTGAAATGGGCGCGCGTTTAATGGAGCAGAGTGAGCAAATTGTTAGGCAACAGGCAGAAATCACCAAACAGCAAGCTGAGCTACTCGAGCTCAAGAAGCAGGAGAGACCCGGGGGGCGACTGGTGGATCCAAGGAACATTCCCAAACCCCCATCTTTTTCCGGTCGAAAAGAAGACTGGGAGCGGTGGAAGCATGTTTTTCTGTCTTGGCTAGGAACCATACATGACAAGTACCCTGGTTTGTTGAACTGGGCAAGCAAGCAGAAAGAGAGCATTGACCATGACAGTGATGATGTCACTCTTGAAGATTTGCAATTGAGTCAAGCGTTGTATGCGATTCTTGTCGGTTACTGTTCTGAGCAGACTCAGCAGCTGATCACTCAGGTTCCTGACGGAAATGGGCTGGAGGTGTGGCGCGTGCTGAGTAAGACAAACGAGCCGAGCAACCGAACGAAGAGCTGGGTGTGGAGAAGACATCTCATGAACCCTCAATTCCCAAGTGACATCAACAAATGGTCTGAAGCCTTTCACCAGTGGGAGGCTGAGATGAACGAGTTTGAAAAGCAGTTTCGAAAAGTAGAACCCGACGATAAGCTGAGCGTTTTGGTTCATGTTGCCCCAAAGGAAATTCAGCAGATGATTTTCTTGCATAGCAACACTTTGGACACGTACAGCAAAACCAAGGAGTACATAGAACAGTACCTTACATCCCGAAACCTTTGGAGGCGACCCCAAGGCTCGAGTTTTGGTGCGCCAAAGAAGTCTCATGTTGATGATGGTGGCCCTGCCCCCATGGACATAGGAGCTGTAAAGGCAGGAAAAGGAAAAGGGGGCAAGGAGGGCAACAAAGGCAAGTGGGACCAAGGTGGGAACTCGGACAAGTGGGGCGACAATCGCGGCTGGAGGGATCGGGGTGGAAAGGACTCCGGAAAAGGAGACAAGGGTGGAAAAGGAAAAGGAGGAAAAGCAAGTGGTGGTGGCAAGCCAGGTGGAAAGGATGCGGGGAAGTCTGGGCATGACAAAGGAAAGAAGGAAGGAAAAGGAAAAGGAGCAGGAACAAACCCACACGCGGGGAAACAATGCCATGTGTGCAAAAGATATGGTCACATCGCGGCGGATTGTTGGTGGAAGGTGTCTGACATTTCCGAGGACAAGACAAATCAGGAGGCCCAGGCGTCCACGGGAGGTGTAGGTTCCATATCTGAGCAAGTCCACGATGTGGATCACAACAACATGTTGTTTGCGGTGACGGATCGCATCTGTGGCGTGCGCGACCACAGTGAGGATGTTTACATGTTGATCGACTCGGGTGCTTGTGAAAGTGTGGCGCGAAATGGAGAGTTCAGTGACAACTTTGAGCCAATGCCACAAGGGAAGCAACTCTTGTCAGTGCAAGGCACTGCGCTGAGAATCTATGGCAAGCAGTATCCCAAGGTGAGGCTGGACGACGGTACAGTGGGCGAAGTGGACCTGACTGTCACCGATGCCAGTGAAACTTTGCTCAGTGTACACAGCCTTGTCTACAAAGGGTTCGAGGTCACGTTTGGTCAAGAAGAGAGCTATCTTAGCAAAGATGGGCAGAGATACCCATTAGTGAAGAAAGGAAAGAGGTGGTATCTGAAGGTTGAGAAACTATCGCCCAGCGAGGCAGGCGTCACTGCGCAGCGCATTGCAGCGCTGGAGGGTGCCACCTCATCGTCTTCGCGAGCTCCAGTCAGCGAAAAGAAGCCAGTGGACTACTGGAAGACAGAGCGCGATTTGGTCATCCGTGTTCATGTGGTGCCAAGGCTCAGGAAGTTTAGCCCTGCGGATGCTGACGATTGCCCAGTGATCGTGGGCGACTTAGAACCAGTCAGAGCAACTGAGGCCAAGTGGGTGGATCGGACAGCAAGCGAGAGCTTCGAGGATCTCTGGTTTGGAGTCAAGAATCCCAGAGAATCTTTGCTGCGGTATTGGACAGGTGAGACCATCTTCAAGCTTAAGCCCCAGGAGGCTCAAGAATCCCAACGAATGGACTTGGAGGACCCGTTTGGCAAAGATGACGAGGGAGATGAGTTGGCCGACGATGCGATGACATTGTGGGAACTCAAGGAGCGAGAAGAGGCGAAGCAACAGCCCATCATGGCAGAACCAGTAGAGCCAAGCCTCGAGGAAGTCGCTGAGCACGAGCTTCACCATGCAAACTTTGAACCTTGGTGCAAGGTTTGTGTTGAAGGGCAGGGACGTGAGAAAGCACATCGCCGACAACATGAGGATCCGAAGGAGCACATCATTTACAGCGACTACATGTACTTCACAGCTGAGGGGAAGCAAAAGAACAAGGAGGAGGTTGAAAAGAGCAAGGACTCAGAGGAGTTGAAAGGTTTGGCGATTGTTATGACAGCGATCGACAAGGACAGCCAATGCCCCTTTGCAGTGCAGGTGCCTTCGAAAGGCACAAAGAGGAACATGTACGCGGTCAATGCAATGGTGGACTGGATAAAGGACTTGGGTTGGAAGAAAGTGACAATTCAGATCGACCAGGAAAGTGCACTGGCGAAGGTGTTCGAGCAGGTGCAGCAAAGGATGGGTATGGACGTGGTGGCATTGAGAAGGAGCCCGAGGTACTCTTCCCGAAATTTGGCAGACGGTGAGATGGTCAATGGACTCATTGCTGGCAAAGTAAGGACTTGGGTGGCCAGTCTCCGGGATAACTACAGCGAGCAAGTGATACAAACCACGGACATCCTGTTTCCTTGGATTGTGAGATTTGTGAGTTGGTCGTTGCCGAGGTTCCACGTGAACCAGTCCCGAACAACACCATTCCGAGTGCTCAAGGGTTACGACTACATCTCGGAATGCCTTCCTTTTGGTGAATGTGCGCTTGGAAAATATTCAGCGAAGAAGTCTGGGGTCAAGAGTGCTTCCAGATGGGTGTGTGGGATCTACGTCGGAAAGACCGCTAGCTCCGATGAACACATCCTGTTGACGAGTGCAGGAGCTCAGACGTTTAGAACTATCAGGAGGATGACACACGGAAGGCGTTACCAAACGAGTATCTTGGACAAGACAGCGGGAGTTCCTTGGAACACGGTGTACAAGGCCGACCAGCGCAAGCCAGAGGAGATCAGGAGCAAAGTGACAGCGCAGACAGCGCCAGAGATGAGTGATCCGGAGTATGAGCCGACTGACATCGAGCCAGCTGCAGACGAGCCTAAGACCATGGTAGTAGTGCCGCCGGTGCCCGCTCCAAGCGTGCACCTGACGCAAAAGGAAGCCGAGGATGCAGGCGGCGTGGCGCGACAGATTGACGCAGACATGACCAACGCGGACGAGGCGAAAAGGACAACAGCAATGCCGAGCCGCTCTGGAAAAGTCAGGAGAACAGAGGCCACAGCAAAGGCAAAGTCAGAACCAGCGTCATCAGCCGCAGCAGCCTCAAGGGCAGTGCCAGGAGAGGTAAGCAGTGAAGACAGCAGTTCATCGAGCTCTAGTTCGCCCACCTCGCGGTCGAGGTCGAGACACTCAGGAAATGAGGAGAACACAGAGAAGCCAGAGTTAGGAGGTGATGTAGGATCTCCTAGCAAGGAAGTGGGCGACACCCAGGGTTTAAGCACACCTGTGGGTGCTACCACAATGGAAGACACAGTGAGCGCAATCTTGGAAGAAACCGAGGAGAGAGATCAGATATCTTCGGTGGCGGACTACTTGGACGCGTGCGTGGTGGATGAAGAGGCTAGGCACAAGGCCCGACTCGAGGAGATCGAGAAGCTGGATGAGATGTTCAAGGCTTTCACGCCCCGCGATCGTAGGGCGTTGCCGAAAGAAATAAAAGTGTTTGGACATTGTTGGGTGGACAAGGTGAGCAGTGGCATAGCCAAGTCACGACTCACCTGCCAAGACTTCAAGCGAAACAATGGTGCAGACAAGAACTCATCAGAAGGACAAAACAACTTTTGCCCATCTCCAGGACACAGCACAACCAAGATGCTGGAGGTATACAGCCTCTACCACAACTTTCCGAGAGTGAAGGCGGACCTCACGTCAGCCTTTCTCATCGCCCGAGATGGAGGCGACGAAAAGGGGCAACCGGTGTGTATGAAGCCGCCAAGAGAGTGGCTGGACAACCTGGAGGTGTGGCTATCCAGACAGCCAGCAGACAAGCGAGATGAAATCGGAAGCATTCCAAAGGAACACTTGGTGTGGCAAGTGGATGGCAACATCTATGGGAGGCAACCAGCCGCCAGCCAGTACAGAGACAGGCTGGATGAAATACTTGTAAGCAAGTTGCCCAAGGATCGGTATGACTTCGTCCGAGGCCGGTTGGATGGATGTGTGTTTAGGTGCACGAAGACAAAGATTGCGGTGATACACCACATTGACGACTTTGCCGTCACCGGTCCAGAAAATGACTTGGATGATCTTCTGAAGGTACAGTTGCCCAAGCATGGGTGCAAAGTGAAAGTGGGAGAGTTTGAATGGCCAGAAAAGCATGGCAAAACAAGCTCAGAGTTTCTGGGACGAGAGAAGATCAGTGTGGAAGGAACCGTGTTGACTAAGCCCAATGCCAAGCACACCGACAACATCCTCAAACTGTTGAACCTCGAGAATGCAAAGAGCAGCCCAGTGCCCGGGAGAAAATTGGATCTGGACAACAACAGCGAGCAATTGTTGGACGAGAAAGAGAAGAAGATTTTCCAATCGTGTGTAGGTAGTGCGATCTACTTGTCCCAGGACAGGATCGACGTGAAGTTCGCTGTGAAAGAGTTGGCGCGTCGAATGAAAGATCCGCGGAAGGCTGACATGGCGAACCTAAAGGTGCTGGGGCGATATCTCAAAGGGACACGAGATCTGGGACACCTAACAAAGGTGGAGGATCTCGAAAGCTCAGCCGCAGGAGAGCGGGAGCTACCGCTGCACGCTTACTGTGACAGCGACTATGCGGGAGACACAGAGTCAAGGAAATCTACCTCAGGCGAGGTTCTTGTACTTGGTGGGACAGTGGTTGAAGCAAACTCGACTACTCAGTCGGGGAACCCAGCGACAAGCTCAGGCGAGGCAGAGTTGAGATCGTTGAATCACTGCGCCCAGTCAAGTATGTACATTCAGAACTTAGCTAGGTACGATTTTGGCCTTCCGGTCTCCACGCCTCGCATTTGGTGCGATTCATCAGCAGCCTTGCAAGCAGCCAAACGAATAGGTGTGGGAAAGATGAGACACATTTCTTTGGCACATCTGTACATCCAAGAATTGGTGAAAACAAAACAGGTCATCATAGGAAAAGTGAAAGGCGTTGCGAATCCTGCTGATTGTCTGACCAAACATTTGAAGACAGGCGAAGAAGTCAGACAAGCCTGTGAACTCACAGGGATGGTCCAACTCAGCAAAGCTGGCATGGACGAGCAGGTAAGAAGAACAGCACTGAGTAGGGTCAGTACGATTGCTGACGAAGTCGAAAGAAAGTCAAACAAGTGGAAGCCTAAGATTCCCGCAAGACTTTCTCTCAGACAACTGTGTAGTGTCGTGTATAAGCCTTACCGGAGGGAGCTACCTCACTGAACATGGGAGAAGCCCTTGTAGTGAGAAGTGCAATGGTCACAGTTCTGCAGCTTGTGGAACGAGGAACTGTGGAGCAGTACCTCAGCGTGTCTGTGGTTTTCCTTTTGGTAAGCAGTGTGACACTCAACATGTTTCTTTTGTGGAAGCTGAAAGTTTCCAAGAACAACGAAGCCACGAATGTGTACCTGACAAAGTACATGTCAGTGTACCACACAAATGCTACATGTGAGCACTTACGCCAAGGGTTCAAGACTCTGCGTAAATGTAAAGTGTGTGCTCACAAGAAAGTCGCAGCAGCCTAGACAAGGCAAAGCTGCAGGGGGGGTGCGCAGATAGTACAGTGTTTGTGCAGCCTTTCCCTTGAGTAGTGTTTGAGCCCAATACGTGTTAACACTGCAGCCCTGTGTTGGCTCAAAAGTCCGAGCTTTTGTGAGTTTAGCACTCCGCGCAGTTTTGGGGTTGAGGGTTTACGAACGGGCTTTGGGTTTTGGAAGGTTCGGTCTTTGGGGGAGGCAAGGTTTCTGGGTCTAGGGTCCGGAGGCTTTCGGTTGTAGGGCTTACATCTACCCACGAACTTTCCCTAAACCCTAAACCCTAAACCCTAAACCCTAAACCCTAAACCCTCTGAGCACATACAGACTCACATAAGCCCCAGCCTTAACAAGTCCGGGCTGGTCTGGCGTGGGTTTCATGTTCATACCTCTTCTTTGTTCCGCCATCGTTTCTGTCTTTAGGGTGCCTGGGCTGAGGGCGACTTACGCCCTAAACCCTAAACCCTAAACCCTAAACCCTAAACCCTAAACCCTAAACCCTAAACCCTAAACCCTAAACCCTAAACCCTAAACCCTAAACCCTAAACCCTAAACCCTAAACCCTAAACCCTCAACCCCAAACCCTAAACCCTAAACCTAAACTTGTGGCACCACCCTACTTGCGTGTCCAAAGAGATCCAGAGGTGGAGACCCTGAAGAAGCAGCTGCCGCAGTTGCAGCAGGCTCCCGTTGTGCTGAGGTTTGCCCAAAGCCCGTGGAGTATAAAGGGTGTATGTAGGTTTCTATGTTTCTGTTTTAAAATTGTAGTCTACTAAAGGATGTTGCTATTGGAACTTTGTAACGGTTCAGAAAGGTTTTTTAATGGTCTATCTGGGCTTCTAGGTGTTGACAGAGGCTTGTGAAGGTTCAGGGTTTGCTCAGTAACGTTACCCTTGTCTTGCCTTCTTTCAAGCGCCATCTTTGTCAATTTGTCGCAAGCCCGAATCGCAGGCCTGAAGCCCCAACCCCTACAGCAAAACCCTGTACCGTAATGAGTAGAATATGCCACGGTCGTCCATGCTGCCATATGCTTCAACATTCCATAGCATCCTATAGTGTTCTCTAGGATTCTACAGTCTACATTCTAGTATTCCTCAAATTTCCAGACTGCATGCCGCAGTATTCCAGAATCCTCTGCGACGAAGCCCAACCTAAACCCTTAAACCCTCAACCCTGAACCCTAAACCCTAAACCCTAAACCCTAAACCCTAAACCGTACCTTGAACCCGGTTTTTGGACCGGAGCGACCGTGGCCTCTGGCAGGACCTGGATCGGGCGAAGGCTGCTCAAGGTGCGGAGAGAGAGCGATGTTTAGGGTTTAGGGTTTAGGGTTTAGGGTCTTAGGGTTTAGGGTTCAGGGTTTAGGGTTTAGTGTTCAGGGTTTAGGCCTGGTGGGTTGATCGAAATTCTTGCCCTCTGTTCGTTTCTTAAAGTAAAATGAGAAGCAGATTCTACTGGAAGTCCGAAACAACGAAAACCCTAAACGTCTCGAATCCTTAAACTCCGAACCTTAATCCGCAACAAAAGCCTTAACTCCTAAACCCTGAATCGTAAACCCTAGGAACCCTCAGCCCTAGGAAGGCTATGCCCTAGGAACCCTAAGCCCTAGGAACCCTAAACGCCAGGAACCCTAAACCCTAAACCCTAAACCCCAAACCCTAAACCCTAAACCCTAAACCCTAAATCCTAAACCCTAAATCCTAAACCCTAAACCCTAAACCCTAAACCCTAAACCCTAAACCCTAAACCCTAAACCGCAAGTTCCCTGCGCCAGGTGCCGCGTTGCCCGCGGCCGTAGCCGCCCAGCTGGCGAGTCTGGAGGCGCAGCTGAGGCTGCTGAAGGCCTGGGATTTGGGGGTTAGGGTTTAGGGTTTAGGGCTTTAGGGTTTAGGGTTTAGGGTTTAGGGGTTTAGGGGTTTAGGGTTTACTTAGGGTTTAGGGGTTTAGGGGTTTAGGTTGGGATGTTCCCCCTTATACTAACAGTCCTTAATTGGGATTATAAGGGGGGGGTACTATAGTCGCTATGAAGGACCATTAGCATAAGGGGGAACATCCCAGGTTTAGGGTTTAGGGTTTAGGGCTTGGGGTTTCAGGGTGATTTGTTGAGTATTAGTTGGTAGTGGTTCACTATGAACAATCTTTTTTCAGCCATGTAACTACCAACTAGCTACTAGGTATTGGTTGGAAAGTATGACTATCTTCACTATCATTCTTCTTCTTGTTGTGATGATGCTCGTGACGTCTAAAACTCTTACCTGGATGATGATTTCGCATGTGGAGATTTACTAGAATAAGGAACCCCCAAGTCTAGACCCCAAATAGTAGGATTCCCTCTAGAGTAAGGACCCCAATAAGGTACCCCTAATTTCGTAAACCTCTGTGTGATTGTGAGAACTCCCCTCTGTGAACCTCGCGCACCCACATGCCTGTCAGGAGGAGGTGGCGGAGCTGAAATCAGGCCTCTTTGGGTTTAGGGTTTAGGGTTTAGGGTTTAGGGTTTAGGGTTTAAGGTTTAGGGTTTAGGTCTTCGTTAAGGGAAACCAAGAAACCCACGGTTTTGAAGGGTTTCGGGTTTAGGGTTTGTTCGCCTGGGTGGGGGGAAGGGGATCACAAGGGTCACAGCAGCGTCGGGCATCGAGGGAAGGGATCTTCGTGTCGTTGTGTTTGCCATGCCGCTGCAGAACATGAAGGGAAAACAGATGTTGCAGTTGCGTGATAGACAATGCCACGCGAGGTGCAAATGCTGAGCTAGTCTTGTGCGAGCCCCCGCTACAGACGCCCGAAATTCTACACAGCGCGTAGGTCCTAGGGTGCAGAGTTTAGGCCCCCAAGGCGTCCCCTTGAATCAAAGCACCTTATCGTAATCTGGCTTTGGAGATCACGAACCAAAAGCCTGAAATCCGACCCCATGCCTGAAACTCGAACACCCCACTCTCAACCTGGAATCTCTGCAACCTCAGCCCTAGCACCCTCACCCTGCAAGCCTCAAAGCCCTTGGGCTCTCAACCCGTAAACCCTAAACCCCAAACCCCAAACCCTAAACCCTAAACCCTAAACCCTAAACCCTAAACCCTAAACCCTAAACCCTAAACCCTAAACCCTAAACCCTAAACCCTAAACCGTAACCCAAAACCTTAAACCCTAAACCCTAAACCCTAAACCCTAATCCTAAACCCTAAACCCTAAAACCCTAAACCCCAAACCCTAAACCCTACTCCTACGCGCCCGGCGAGGCCAAGCGGAGCTGCGCCTAGAGAATGCAGCGCTCCGGGCGCTGTTGAAGTCAGGCCTCTTGGCCCTGTATAGGGTTTGGGGTTTGGGGTTTGGGGTTTAGGGTTTAGGGTTTAGGGTTTAGGGTTTAGGGGTTGGGGTTTAGGGTTTGGAGGTTCAGAATTTTTCGGGTTGGTGGAGTTTGGGATGTAGGGTTTTGGGTGCAGGGGTCAGGGTTTTGGGGCTCGGGGTTTTCGACTTGGGAGTTTAGGGCTTGGGGTTCCAAGATCAGGGTTCAGGCTAGGAGCCGTCACCCAACGGAGCCTTCCCAAGCAAAACCTTAATGCCACCCCTCAAGTTCCTCGAGCCCAAAGCCCTAAACCCTTAGCCCTAAACCCTCAGCCCGAAACCCTAAACCCTAAACCCTACACCACTAAACCCCAAACCCTAAACCCTAAACTCTCAACCCTAAACCCTCAACCTTCGACCTTAAACTGCCAGTGCCTGTTAGGCGCCGACGCCGGCGACGGAGCAGCAAGCGCGTTGTCGGCGCCCGTGCCCGCTCCCCCGCCTCCCCCGCCACCTCCGCCGCCACCTCCGCCCCCGCCTCCCCCTGCAGAGCAGGCCAGTCGGTTTGGGGGTTTAGGGTTCGGGTTTAAGGTTTAGGGTTTGGGGTCTAGGGTTTAGGGCGCTTGAGTGAATATTTGGGATGTTGGGGTTTAAGAATTTGTGGGTTGCAAGCTCCATCAGGGGTACAGGCTTGAAGGGTATGGCTGTGGCTCAATGTTCCGCTGACGATCCAGAACCCTGCTTTTGGGAGTTTGGGGGATCGGGGTTAGGGGGCATTTGTGGGGGTATTTTTGCTTCGGACGCTTGAAGAATCTCTGAAACCCTCAACTTGTAAGCCCTAAATCCCAAACCCCAAAGCCCCAAAACCCCGAAACCCCAAAAAAGCAAAATCCCAAAATCCCAAAACCCCAAACCAAACCTCAAACCCAGAAGGTTGAAAGAGCGGACCGTTTCAGGTGATCCCTAAGCCCTAAACCCTAAGCCCCTAAGCCCCTAAACCCTAAGCCCTAAACCCCTCAACCCCTAGACCCCTAAAGCCCTAAAGCCCTAAAGCCCTAAAGCCCTAAAGCCCTAAAGCCCTAAAGCCCTAAAGCCCTAAAGCCCTAAAGCCCTAAAGCCCTAAACCCCTAAACCCCTAAACCCCTAAACCCCTAAGCCCGAAACCCGAAACCCCACTAAACCCTCAACCCGAAACCCCAAACCCTAAACCCTAAACCCGAAACCCGAAACCCTAAACCCTAATCCCTGAACCCTAAACCCT